AGGTGGAGTCAGAGTATGGGTACCAAGTCTAAGTTTGAGGAGCCTCCTTACATCTACCCTGCCTCCAAGGACACTATTTCCTCAGATCCTCACTCTCAGTATTGCTTCATCTGCCCTTGGCTCTTTTGTTCTTTCCAGCTATGACATCACCCTTTCCCGGCACTCAACATCTCAGTTTGCGATGTGTCTGAGGGGACTCATGACAATATAGTGCAAGGGAAGGGTCTGGAGGTAGTTTCATGACAGGCCCTCAGTAGCCCTTCCTCATTGTCAACAAAAATATACTTGGCTTTTGCTGAGAGGCGAATCAGGAAATGGTTTGAAAGGAAGCATCTAGTAGCTTAAAGGCGGAAGACTAGCTTGATAAAGATTGTGTTGTGTGTTAAATGGCTTTGATCAGTTCCAACTCAAAGACCCTGTGTATGGCTTCCTAGGAGTGGCTGGTGGATTTGAACCTGATCTTGTGGTTAGCAGTCCTATACTACAGTGCCACACCGGCACCCTTGATAAAGAGTAGAATCTCATTTATCCACAGAAGATACCTCAATTGCAGTCATCAGTGAGTAGGTACATTGGAGGGCCCTGAAGGGAACTCAGACCATTGGTCCTACTTGTAGTTATAGTGGATAAGCCCAAAAGGAATGGGTGGCAGCCTGGTGAAAATGTACAAAATACCTCCTGTTACCGATGACCAGCCTAGACCTACCTGCTGCACTGCCTTCCCAGGGGACAGAAGACATATTAGAGTGAATATAGAAGATCCGGTCAGACATTCTCTCTCAAGCAACCAAACTAAACGCTGTATTGTAGAGAAATGGTAGGGAAGTATCCCCAGACACATCTGTGTATTTACCCTGCCATGGAAACAAACCTGTGAGGTCATCACTACGCAGTGATGTCACAAAAAGAATCTGTGACTAGAGAGGGCAGACTTTTAGCTGTCTGGGATTTGTGATCAGATTGGGTCAGAGGCACCCTGACTAGGCCCTCACACCAGGAAGTAGTTTCATGAGAGGCCTTCAGTAGCCCTTCCTCATTGTCAAATAGCCACTTCCTGTAGAGCCCACCTGTGGGGCTGGCACAGCCATTGTAAAAACAGGAAAGAAAGAGAAACCCAAATCCTGAGACTCCCTTGAGAGACAAGACCATCCTTAGAGACAGCCAGATTGTATGGCACTCAGCAGTTGAAGATAGACATTCTGACTTGTGTGGATGCGGGGAATCAAGGTTTCTTGGATGTGGGCCTTAAGGACAAATGAGATTTGGATATGTGGAAAAGAGGGAGGACATTCTAGTCAGGAAAAAACAAAAGCAGAGATATTCCATTCTTGGTCTTGTCCTGCTCCAAATGTAAATTTACAGCACCCTAACTTAACGGTGTCCTGGTGTGGTGCTGTGGGTTAATGTGCTAGACTGCAAAGTCAGTTTGAACTGTAAAGTTGGTGGTTCAAGCTCACCAGTCGCTCTTTGGAAACCCTCTACAGGGTCGCTATGGGTCGGAACCGACTCAACGGCACTTAACATTTTTAACAGCTGAGGACTCACGAAAACCCAGAGGTTAAGGGGCCACCCAAGGTCACACAGGTAGTGATGTTTCACTAATGCTAGGGGGGTCACTGATGCTTTATTTTTGGGCTTCAGATTTATAGCTCATAGAGAAGTGAGGATAACTTGATCTGACAAGGATGTTATAGGTGTTCAGAGGCAGAGTGAGGATCTTCAATAAATTCACAGCACAGAGTGGGGATAATCGGCCCATTTTAACATGACATTCAAAACAAACAGACCTTATTACCTTCCCCTCCACTCAAAAAGACAAAAAATGACAACTCCATTATCATGAAAGGATGCGATGGAAGCAAAACATCAGCTCAGGTGAAAACTAGTCAACATTGATGAGGTGCTACTGAAGCAGAGGAAGAAACAGGCAACCCTACTGTTAGTTTCAACAGTTCCACACTAGGGGATGACATTTGAGGCAGCCTTGGACTCACTGTGGCCAAGATTGCCCTGGAAATGTGAGATATCCAAAGATGGAACAGCCTTTCTTAGGAAGGAGCTCCCTGTTGCTTGCCTTGAGTGAGCAGAGATAGTACATTTGTTGACTGGGGTTGTAGAAGGAATGTGCCTAGGAGCTGGAGACTACTATTTTGGAGGTTGGGCAAACCTGGCTGAGATTCACAGCACTTTCTACTTCCTGTTGTTGTTGTTGTTAAGTGCCGTCCAGTCGGTTCCGACCCATAGTGACCCTGTACAGGGTTTCCGAGGGTGTAAATCTTTATGGGAGTAGAAAGCCTCATCTTTCTCCCGCGGAGCAGCTGGTAGTTTCGAACCGCTGACCTTAAGGTTCGCAGCCCGATTCGTAACCACTACGCTACCAGAGCTCCTTTCTAAGTTCCTTTAATTAGTGTGGTGCCTTTAAGGACAGAAGGAAGTCAGATCTAATTAGAATGGATTGCCTGTGGGGAGTGGTAGGAGGTAGTTGTGAAGGTTTGTTCTGGCAGGAGGGCCAGCATGAGACCTCTCAACCTTCTTAATGGCTCTGGAGAGAGAATTGTCTGGGAGTGTCCCAGTAACTTGGTAGGATACTGATCTCTCACCAGGATGTCGGGGAAGACAGCACAGCATGGACAAATGGCTTGTCAACTTAAAAGGCCCTGAGAATCACTCAGGAAACATGCAAAAATAGAGATTCTTGGGATGGTGCTCAGAGAACTTAATCTGACCTGGCGGCAGGCCAAGGAATCTGAATAACAGGCTCTGGACCAATCACTTGGGTAGTTCTGCAGCAGTGGCTCCTACATAGTGACCAAATTATTTGTCTAAATTAGAGTGCTCTTGAGAGTCAAAGTGGGTGGTAATAAAAACACCAGCAGGCAAAGATGTAAACAAGGAATATTGCAGAACAGAATTACAGTTATTCTCTGAATGAATTACATTTGAGAAAAACTGGCAAGTTAAGAATACAGCCCTTGTGAACATCGTATGTTGCTGGTGGGACTGTAAAATGTAGCTGTTGTGGAAAGAGTTTGTGGAGTTCTCAAAAGTGAAATGTAGAATTACCAAATGACAGGAATTTCATTCCTAGATCTATACCGAAAATAACTGAAAACTAGTAGTCAACAAATCCTTGTACATGTTCAAGAAGCATTGCTCACTACAGCCAAAAAGTGGAAACAGTCCAAATGCCCATCAATGGCAATGGGTGAATGGATAAACAAACTGAAATATGTGGGAGATTCAAAAAGTTCAAGGAAAAACTCCATTATTTTTCAATTCCATTTTCCCACTAACCTTATAAAAAAACTTTTATTGTAAATTGGTTGTAGGTTTACAGAGTGGATCAGTTTTCGATTGAACAATTCATACACATTTTGTTTCCTCTCATTGACTGCAATCCTTACAATGGAACATCCTTTAATTTACTTCCTCCCTATCCACAAACTTTTGAAGCCACCTGTATATAAAGTAGAATATTATTCTGCCATAAAAGGGATGATGGGCTACAATGTGGACGAACCTCAAAAATATTGTGCTAAGTTAAAGAAGCCAGATGCAAAAGGTCATACCTTTCATTATTCCATTTGTATGAAATATTCAGGAAAGGTAAATAGAAACAACACAGACTGGTGGTTGCCAAGGATTAAAAGGAAAGGGGGAGCAACTGCTTAGTGGGTAAAGGGTTTCTTTTTGTTTTTATAAGCGCTGTCAAGAGTCAGTTCCAACTCACAGAGAAGCAGCTGGTGGGTCTGAGTTTTTGACTTTGTGGTTAGCAGTCTAGTGCTTATCTTATAGGGCTACATCTTTTTGGAGTGATAAAAATGTTTTGGAACTAGATAGAGGTGGCCTTTGCACAACACTTGAATGTACTGTCACGAAATTGTTCACTTTCAGTTAACTTTTTATGTGACTTTCACCTGAAAGACGGTGTAGACAAACTAGGTTCTGCCCACTTACTTGTATGATCTAGAGCAAGCTTTTTTCTCTCTTTTTGAGCCTCAATTTCTTTACCTGGAAAAGAGAACTAAGATTGTACAATTTGGTCAAGGTTGCCCATGTGGTAATTGGTTGCCCAACTAAGTAGGCCCATTTCTGTTTTGTGCAATTTTACTTATCCATCCTTTTACAGTGTGGAAATATTTTAAGTTGCTCTCTGGAATATCCTATTTGATACATTTTTTGTTTATATAATGCTGCAGAGACTGAATCTAGGAGCTAATGAGGATACTTGTTTATTTAACCAGTTTTATAAAACAGTTTGGGAGTATGGTGACTCTGTATAACCACTAGATTGTGAACCACGAAGTCAGCATTTTGAGCCCACCAGCTGCTCTGTGGGAGAAAGATGAGGCTTTCTGCTCCCACAAAGATGTATAGCCTATGAAACCCTATGAGTCACTATCAGCTGGAACTGACTCAATGGCACTTAACAACATAAAACAGTTTAATCTTTCTCCTTTCTAAATGAAAGATGGGAAATGATTTTAAAGGGAACTCAGTTCCCTTTAAGTAAAACTTACTTCCCCATTATCTTCTGGTAACCAGAATATTTGTCTACAGATATTTGTCAATTCTAGAAATTTTAATGAATACTTTTCTGGTAGCACACACGCACACACATAAATAGTTACAAATTAAAATATCAACTGAAGAACCTTGTTCTACATATAGTTTGGGGTCTGATTCTGCTCAAAGTCCACAAAATTCTGACTCAATAGTCACTAGTATTATGGAAGACTCACAAATTACTACTCTTGAAATTATGTATTAGAAACCATGACATGATACAATTCCACTTTATTTTTTGTGTGTCATGTGAAAGACTACACATAGTTTAGCCTCCAATGCTGGTCAGCAGCAGCTTACCTTGCCAAGGCAGACAGCAGATCATCACATTGGCCCTCAGGGAGGTAAGAATTCCTCCTACTGGCCAATCTGCTCACCCACCCAGGGCACCGGGAAAGACCCTTGTTTTAGCATTACATTTAAGTCAGCCCAAATCACATTTTCTGGGGCAAAGGCTCTCTCACTGCTGACTCTAGTCCTGGAAGGCTTCTCCTCCGGCGAGCCGCCAGTTCAATCTTCTGAACTAGGCTCACATCCCAAGGATGGGTTACAAAGCTTATGACAGTGCCTGGCACCTCACTCCCCACACGGCCCACCCTCCCTGCTCTGTGAATATAGTCTTGCAGGGTGAGTGGGAAATCATAATTGACAACCAGCTTCACATGGGTGCTGTCAAGGCCCCGAGAGGCTATGTCTGTGCAGAGAAGTATGTCTTGGGAGCCCTTCTGGAAGCACTGGAAGATGCCTGCCCTCATTGAGGCTGGCATTTGTCCCTGCAGTCTCAAGTGTTGGATTTTGTGGTCATCCAGAATATATCCCAGCCAGTTCACGGTGGTGGAGCTATTACAGAACACTAGGATAGCTCCCGAGGGGCCAATCCTAGTTGCTCTGTTGTGCTGCTTGAAGATCTGCACCAACTCTGTCACTTTCTCTGCTCCCTTGAGCCTCAAAAATGTCTGTTTGACATGAGGCATGATGCAGTGGAGCTTGGAGCTCGTGATGGTGGCGAGAGAGTGAGGGCTGGCGAATTTACTCAGCAGCTGGCCCACACCTTCAGGAAATGTGGCTCCCACCAGCACCAACTGAGCTTTCGGATTGAAAGGATCTTCTAAGTCGGCTGGGGTTTCTGCTATGTGGCTCTTCTCCAAAATGTAGTCTACAAGTTCCAGGAAGCTTTCGTCCAGCAGTGTGTCTGCTTCATCCAACACCAAGAAGGAAAGCTGCTCCAGGCTAACCAGTTGACTTTTGAGGGCCTTCCACAGAGCCCCTGGAGTGGCCACTAGCACATCTGTTGGAGGCTGTTTGGTAAGCTGCACCCTGAGCTTACTCATACCATGGCCTCCCCCTAATTCCTGCACCTGCAGACCCAAAGAGCTGCCCAATGCCTGAGCCACGGTTCGCACCTGTTCCGCCAATTCTCGGGAAGGCACGAGGACTAGCCCTCGGGGGGCAGCAATACGGCAGGAGTTAAGGTTGGGCCGGGCCAAGAGTCGTTGAAACAGCGGTAGGAGGTAGCTGAGAGTCTTACCACTGCCAGTTTCCGCAGCGCAAAGGATATGGCGGCCTCGAAGTAGAGGAGGGATGGTGCTCAGCTGCACTGTCGTGGGCCGAATGACTTCGGGCGCAGACTCCTGCAGCGCGTTCAGCACCCGCGGCTCCAGGCCTAGGTTCGCGAAGCTGCTCTCCAAGGAGCCGTTGCGCAGCGCTGGCGCCTCCTGTTGAGCACGCTCGATGGAGAAGTGGTCTCCGCGTGCGCGCCGGCTCCTCCAGCCGCGCGAGGCGAGCGGCGCGCGCTCCCAACGGCCCAGCGTCAGGCGCGCCGGCTGGCTAAACTCCGGTCGCCGAGCCGAGACCAGTAGCGGACCAGGTCGCGCTAACACTAGCTGCGGACGACTCCGTCGCTCACTCTGCTGCTGTTCCTGCCGCCGCTGAAGGGCCCGGGGTATACGCACCACAGGCAGGGGATCGTCAGGACAGCGGACCGCTAGGTCCCGTCGGGGAACCAAGAGCTGCCGAACTGCGAGCAGTAAAAGTCGCATTGGCCGCGCCAGAGCCATTTTCCTTTTGGCGAAAGAGCGGCGCACGGCAATGACATCACGGAAGCACAGCGACCGTGCGTACGGTGGCCGACTCGGTGAGACTGGAGCGAGGAGTTGGCGAACCGTGAAGAGGGACGGAAGATCTGTGTGGAGTTCATTTGCGGCGAGGTCTGTCGGGCTGCATAGGGATGGTGACATCCAAATCCGGGTGGCTTTGGGGGAAGGGTGCGCAATAGAAGGACATGGGGAAGGACTGTGAAGCTCAGGTCTTATGGACCAGGAAGGCTTCGGGATACTGGGTGCCGGGACCCTGCGATTCTCCCTCATCGCACTCATTGCTTCTGTGACGGCGAGCCTAGTGCTTGCCTCGCTTCTGTAACCGACGAAGTTTCACCAGTTGTGGTCTCCGTACAACGTCTGGTGATGAATATTTATTGAGTCTTAATGAGTGGTTGGAGTCCTGGTGTGGCGCTGCGGGTTAGTGCGCTTTACTACAAGTAGGTTTGAATCGCAAGGTCGGCAGTTCAAGTTCACCAGCCGCTTCTCAGAAACCCTATACAAGATCGCTGTGAGTCGGAACTGACTCGACAGCACTTAACAACAATGAATAGGTCTGGGGACTAATAAAAGCCTGGGAGTAATAGAAATAGGCTCAAACCCAACTCTCCACCCCCCAGGACTGAAGAGTTCAGAAGGCAAATGGTGGCTTTCAGCATTTTCACTCTGTGAAGTGCAAAGTAAGGTCTACAGGCTTTATTTTAAGTGGACTCATTTCTTTTTTTCATTCAGCCAATTTTCGCTCTTCAGTCATCTGTCACCCCTCACGAATTCTAATCCTGAACCCACCATTCATGAGGCCCAGTCACTTCCATTAACTTCCGAATCAGGTATCTCAAGTTGCTTAAATAGTAGGACCGTTTTCTGCTGCTATTACATAGCCATTGGGAGGTTGATATGTTGTTGTTCTCATGGAGTCTTGGTCAGACAGCATATTTTACTTGAATTCAGATGTTCAAATTGCAAAAACACATAACAAAAACTACTTCATTCGTTCTTCTTGAACGAACAGATTAGGAAAATGGTGTCATCTTTTCTGTGGAGTTCTGGTGTAGCCCTGTGAGTTAAAGCACTGGACCACAAGGTCGGCGGTTCAAACTCACTAGTCTCTCCTTGGAGATCCTATATAGTGTCGCTATGAGTTGGAACCAACTCAACAGCACTTAACAACAATAACAGTTTTCTCTGGTCCCTAGTGCCTGGGATAGGAGGGAAGATAAATGTTTGTGAATTGACCAGTGAGAATTTTTTAAAAACATAAACAGTTTAGAGAAAGTGTTTTAATTTCATTAAATACTATTGAAAATACAAAAAGCTTAAAATTTTTCAAAAGCCATTTTGATACATGAGTAAGTAGACTTTCTGGAGAATCATCAGTTATATCAGGGGAAGAGAGAGTTTCGAGGAGTTACCAGTCTTTGGATAGAGCAGTAAATCTCAAAAGGGGGTGATTTTACCCCTCAGGGTACATTTGACAATGGCAGGAGGGAATTTTAGTTGTCCCAACTAGGGAGATTCTATTGGCATCTAGTAGGTAGAATTCAGAGAAATTGCTAAATACCCTACAATGCTCAGGACAACCCTCACAACAAAGAATTATAAGGCCCAAAATGTCAATTGTGTTCTGTTGATAAACCTTGGAACTAAGGAGGAGGAAGAAGGTGGAGATTCCTCCTAATTTTTGGGAGTATGGTGGCTCCATATGATAAACACAGGACTTCGAATCACAAGGCCTGCTATTTGAGCCCACCAGCCGCTCCGTGGGAGAAAGATCTCCACGGGAGAAAGATGAGACTTTCTCTCCCACTAAGATTTAAAGCCTCGGAAAACCTATGCAGGGTCACTATGAGTCGGAACTGACTTGATGGCACTGAACAACAACACTCACTCTTCAGCTGGACACATTTGCTAAACTCTAGAAGGGGTCGTTCAGGAGGGTGAAACGAGAGAAGACAAATCTAGGGAGAATAAAATTTGTCCTCGTGTTTGAAGAACGCATCCTATGGATGCCCTGTGGGGTGTGCCATTCCAGAAGGCAGTACTGGGACTCATGTGACAGGGAGGCAGATTTGGAACTTGATGTAAAGAACTGCTGCAGCAACTAGGATGACCCAGAGCTGTCTTTAGTTTCCTATCAAATCAAGGTTTATGTGCAGGCTGGATAGTTGCTGGATTTCCGACCTGATAGGCTTGTGCCACTATCTTTCATATGTAAAACAAATAATTGCTTTGCACCAAGCCAGCATAGATATATTGAAGGAATTATCAGAAAATAATACATAGGTATGTATTTGTATTTGTGTTATGTCCAAATATTTGCGGCAGGGTAACTGTAAAAGGCTGCTTTCTCATTATAATTGCGTCCTTATAATATGTTTACCTCAAAAGTCTTCTAGGGCTTAGAACCTGCCTGAACCTGTCTCTGACCATGGCCCCTAATTTCTTCTTGTCATTCCATTAGATACTACCTAGGACATCAGAAAATATCTCTTTTTCTCTGACCACAGTTGTTATTGACATGCACGTGTTTATAGTATTGTGGTTTGTTGTTAAATGCCATCAGTAGGTTCAGACTCACTGTGATCCTGTAAAGGAGGAACAGCTGGTGGGTTTGAACTGCCAACCTTGTGGTTTGCATGCTAGTGCTGATCCTACCAAAAAAAATTTTTTTTAAGCTCTTAGGGGTTAGTGACCTAACTTGGAGTGTTTTCCCGAGAGCTACCTTGGTGATTCCTGTTCCCTGGTGGTTCTGTAAGCTTTAAATAGTCTCGTTTCTTGTGTCTCAGCTGATAACAGTACAGATTCACTTAACAGGTATTGAGTACCATGTATGTACTTTTCAAACAGTGAGCAAAACAGACAAAATTCCCACTTTCATGGAGTTTACATTCTGATCTAATTAGTTGGGCTAAGCCCTGGATGCTAGTATTTTTAAAAACTTCTCTAGATGACTGTAATGTGCAGTCAGATTTGAGAACCTCAGTTATAAGTGATGCACTTTGAGAATTGTTTGTTGTTAAGTGCGCTTGAGTCTGTATGGGGTTTCCAAGGAGCAGCTAGTTGGTTTGAACTGCCTCCTTGTGGTTCACACCGACTTTGTGACCTAATGCTTATCCTTCAGCACCACATCAGGACTCCTTGAGAATTGTAAGACCTTGCAAAAATAAATGGTTATTAGTATTCCTGCTGCACAGGAACTTTTTAAAGTATTGAAGAGCAGAGATGTCAGCTTGAGGACTAAGGTGCGCCTGACCCAAGCCATGGTATTTTCAATAACCTCATATGGATGCGAAAGCTGGACAGTGAATAAGGAAGATCGTAGAAGAATTGATGCCTTTGAGTTGTGGTGTTGGAGGAGAATACTGAAAGTGCCATGGACTGCCAAAAGAACCAATAGATCTGTTTTGGAAGAAGTGCAGCCAGAGCTGCACTTGATGATGCACTTGGAGGCCAAGATGGCTAAGCTTCGTCTCTCATACTTTGGACATATTGTCTGGAGGGAACAGTCGCTGGAGAAGGATGTCATGCTGGGTAAGGTGGAAGGTCAGAGAAAAAGAGGAAGACCCCTAACGAGATGGATTGGTCAGGTGCCATCATTGATGGAGTCAAGTGTGGCAGCGGTAGTGAGGTTGGCCCAGGATCGCACATTGTTTCGTTCTGCTGTGCATGGGGTCGCTGTGAGTTGGTTCCGACTCGATGGCACCTGACAACAACAACAACAGTATTCCTTCACTGTCTCTCCATTTTCTTGTTTGCATCAGGGTTGTTGTGTAAGTGCTGGCAATTCATGTTTGCAGTATTCTGTCGTTACTTTGGTATACAAAGCCCCTGTCTTTGTATGCTTCGACCCTTTCACCATCTATCTAACCCAGCTCCCTACGTCCTTCCTGCCTGTCACCATCTACTCCTACAGCTGTCTCCTTAGTGATTTTATTAAAGCACAGCCGTGCCCCGTCACCTTTTGACTCAAAAGCCATTAATGAACCCCCATTGCCTACAGATTATCTCCTAATCATTGTCCAGAATCTGGCCCCAAGTGTATCTCCTTCTGCTTCCTTGTCTGCATATTGTTTTACTCAAGTGCTGGCTTCTTTGCAAGTTGGATGAAGAGCTTGTAGTCCTTTACTGGGAACTCAAGGAAATTGGGTAGTAATTCTGCTCTATAACCAAACCTGAGGTCTGACAATTTCATTGCAGTTTGACTGATCAGTTCTTCTATGCCTGAAGCACAAACCAGATTGTAGCTCTCACTACCATTTGACAGTTTACTTTCTTTTTATAACAGACACTAAGCCCCTACCAGATGCTGTGCTCTGGTGAGGATCTGGTGATGAGCAAGACCCAGTGCTTGCCCTCACCTTACAGTGGGAGAGGCAGGCTGACAGGATAGGAGTGAGCTTAGAGGAGGAGCATTGTGTTTGGGAAATGTGGGTCAGGGAAGGCTTCCTGGAGAAGGTAACATCTGTGATGAGTTCTGAAAAGCTAGTGGTAATCAGCCATGTGCAGGAATAGGGATGTGGCTCCTAAGTAGGGGCAGCTTGTTTAAAGTTTCCAGAGAGATCAGGCCAGTTTGGAGAGCTCTAAATGCTTCAGAGTAGCTGAAGTTTAGAGTTGGGGAGTTAAGAGGCAAGGGGCAAGTAATGAAAGATGAGCCTTCTATGGAAGGCAGGTCAAAAGCCTGTTTGTTATGTTAAGAAATTTGGACTTTTCAGGGCAGTGGAGGCTTCCAAGGATGAAAATGGCCTTGTTTGTACTTAGAAAGATACCTCTGGCTGTTGGAAGGAGCACAAATTGTAAGATATGAGCCTGGAAGCAAAATGACTGATTCAGAGACTATTGCCATAGCTCAGTTGAAAGGTGATAGAACTGGCAGAGCCAAGAGTTTAGTAATTTCCATTTCTTTGCCTCTAATGCTCCACAATCCCTTTATATTAAAAGAGCTAGTAGATGTTTGTTGGTCTATCAGTAGACTGGAGAGCATGTAGAAGATATAAAAACCTGTGATAGTGAAAACAGTTAACATTTTTAAGCCTTTACTGAGTGCCAGGAACTGTTGTGCTAAAAATGTGCATCATCAAGTTTACTCTCCAGAGCATCCCCTTGACCTAGATTCTGTTGTAGCCTCAAATCCCAGAGGGAGAAGCTGAGGCTTGGCTGGATAATCTGTTTAGGGAACAGAGCTAGGATTCAATTGCAGGCCTGTCTGATTCAAGAGTCCAGGATCTGTACCCTGATATGCTGTATTACCTCTTTGTCTTATAAATGTAATGTGTCATTTTAGTGTTTTCTCACACGTTTTAAGTAGGAAATAGAATACTCTAGAAATATTTAATGATGATTGACTTTTATTCTAATTCTAAATATGTATTTTATAAAACATACATGAATGTTCCCTACCCAGAGAAGCAGTGACGCCAGAGATGGAGGCAGAGATGATGACGTGGAGAGATGGAGCAGCTGGAGACTTTAGTTAGACCCAGAGAGGGAGAGGGGCTGTGTGCTGACAACCGGGGGTCAGGCTTGCAGAGTATACCCTGTGGTTGGTTGATGATGCATGGAGGGGATTATAACCATGGCAAGGAAACTATATATGATAGGATGAATATATAACTAATGTTCTCCCATGTAAACAGTCACGTAATTTACAATAAAACATTAAAAAAAAAAAGAAAATAACAAATGTTGGTGAGGATGTGGCAAATTGGGACTCTTATCCATTGCTGATGCTGTGGGTTAATGCACTAGACTGCAAAGTTGGTTTGAACTGCAAGGTCAGTGGTTCAAGCTCACCAGCTGCTCCTTGGAAACCTTATACAGGGTCTCTATGAGTTGGAACTGACTTGACGGCACTTAACAACAACAAATCCATTGTTGATGGGAATGTAAAATGGTAGTCACGGTGACAAATGTTGCGGTTCCTCAAAAGATTAAAAATACAAGGGAGCTTCAAATAGTTCATGAAAATGGAATGAAAAGATGAATTTTTTTCCATAAACGTTTTGAAGCCCCCTCATAGACTTGCTATATGACCCACTCAAAAGACTAGAAAGCAGAGACATAAATAAAGATACCAATGTTCATTGTAGCACTATTCACAATGGTCAGAAGATGGAAACAACACAAAATGTCCAGCAACAGATGAGTGGATAAACAAAATGTGTTGTACACATAAAATAGAATACCATTCAACCAGTAGGACAGGGCTGGAGAACTTTTTTTGCCAAAATTTATAATGTCATTCACGGCCATACAAAATTATTAACTTAAAAATTAGTCTGCTATGTTTGGTGTTTGAACAGAACATGGGAATACTGAATGGTTTAAAATTAAGAAAGGTGTGCGACAAGGTTGTAGTCTTTTACCATACTTATTCAACCTCTATGCTGAGCAAATAATCCAAGAAGCTGGGTTCTATGAAGAAAAAAAACATGCCATCTGGATTGGAGGAAGACTCATTAACAACCTGTGGTATGCAGATGATACAACCTTGCTTGCTGAAAGTGAAGAGGACTTAAAACATTTACTGACCAAGGTCAAAGAGCACAACCTTCAGTATGGATTACATCTCAATGTAAAGAAAAAAAAAAATAAATAAATAAATAAAAGAAAACAAAAATCCTCATCACTGGACCAATAAACAACATTCTTATCAATGGAGAAAAGATTGAAGTTGTCAAGGACTTCATTCTTCTTGGATCAACTATCAACACTCATGGAAGCAACAGTCAAGAAATCAAACTACGTATTGCATTAGGCAAATCTGCTGCACAAGACTTTTTTAAAGTGTTGAAGAGCAAAGATGTCAGTTTGAGGACTAAGATGCACCTGGCTGAAGCCATGGTATTTTAAATAACTTCATATGCATGTGAAAGCTGGACAGTGAATAAGGAAGACTGTTAGAAGAATTGATGCTTTTGAGTTATGGTGTTGAAGGAGAATATTGAAAGTGCCATGGATTGCCAAAAAGATCCAATAGATCTGTTTTGGACGAAGTGCAGCCAGAGTGCTCCTTGGAGTCCAAGATGGCCAAACTTAGTCTCTTATACTTGGGACATATTGTCAGGAGGGACCAGTCGCTGGAGAAGGATATCATGTTTGGTAAGGTGGAGGGTCAAAGAAAAAGAGGAAGACCCCCAACGAGATGGATTGGCTAAATGGCAGCATCCATGGACTCAAGCATGGCAACAGTAGTGAGGTTGGCCCAGGATCGGGCAATGTTTCGTTCTGTTGTGCATAAGGTCGCTATGAGTCGGTACCAACTCGATGGCACCTAACAACAACAACAACAATATATTTGGTCAAACAGTTAATGAACTCACCCCTAATGTGAGTTAAAGGCGTTCTGGTAGCGTAGTGGTTATGAATCGGGCTGTGAACCGCAAGGTCAGCAGTTCGAAACTACCAGCTGTTCCACAGGGGAAAGATGAGGCGTTCTGCTCCCGTAAAGATGTACAGCCTCGGAAACCCTGTGCAGGGTCGCTATGAGTCGGAATCGACTCCACAGCACATAACAACAACAACATATTTATTTATTTATTTATTTATTAATTATTCAGGAGCGTGGTGACTCTAGAGGATAAGCACTGGACTGCAAACCATAATAAGGTTAGTTTTTGAGCCCACCCACCAGCTACTCTGCAGGAGGCTTTCAGCTCTCATAACAATTAACAGCTTTGAAACTTTCTATACTATGTAATTTATTTATTTGTTAAATTTCTTAGTTTTTGTGTGTGTTCCCCTTTTAAAAATGAAAACTCTACCAGAGCAGGAATCTTTGTTTCGTTCTTTAATGTATTTCAAGAGGCTGGAACAGAACCTGGCACAGAGTAGGCATTTAAAGTAATCTGGATGTTGACAGGAAGAAGGAAAGCCTGCGTGGGTTGATAGATGAGATGGTCTCCAGGTGGATTTCTGACTCTTGTTTCCCCTTCCTCAGGCCAGAGCAGAGAAGGAATGATTGTGAATAATCTCTCACTGTGCTACCACAACAAACTCATCTTGGCTCCCATGGTTCGGGTAGGGACGCTTCCAATGCGGCTGTTGGCCCTGGATTATGGAGCAGACATTGTTTACTGTGAGGTAAGGGGCTCCTTGTTTTTATGGAGGGCTTTTCTATAAGTGCAGCTGCCACCTTTGCATGTGGGCGGTGCCAAGAGTTGGGGGAGTCAGGATGGGAACTCAGAGGGCATTGGCATATGGCCTTCTGTAACTTCAGGGGGAAGAAAGAGAATCACCACCAGCCTCAGCCCAAGTCTGATTCCCATGAGGTGGAGGTCATATTTAATCTCTGTCCTCCGCTTTCTAATGATTCTAACACCAATTCTCCCTCCCACACCACTCTACTTCTTTGTTTGATAATTTGTTGCTATCGCAACACCAAACTCACAGATTATACTCACTGTTATGAGGTTTATTAGGGAAGTAACATGTTGCAACTCAGGATTAGAATCAATAGGCTATGACTGGGAATCAGAATCAGGCAGCATGTAGGCATAGTTTCCTTTCTTCAGTGTAGGACAACGCTCAGCATCTCTTGGCTATTTAGGACTCCTCTTGCCAACTGAGGACAGGTTTCTCTGCTCCTTTGCTTGACTTTGGCCTTTGTGCTGTCTTACACTGTCCCATGAAATGGCTTCGGTTTCTCTGCCATTTCTTCTTACTGTCTTATGCTATCTCTAGTACTATAGCTCTCTCTGTCTCCTGGGGTCTAGGAGGTTCTTACCACAGGAACTCTGAGTCCAAAGGATGTACTCCATTCCTGGATTTTCTTTCTTGATAGTAGAGTTCCCCCTCTCTACATCCTTTAAGCCTAGCAGGATGATAAAACTGATCACTATTCTTGTTAGGGTTCCAGGTACCAGGGTTTTTGTGTGCATAATTCCTCTAAATCAATGTATGGGAATTATAAGACCATGCATGACTAAAAAGACATATTAAGTAAATGTTGTAGAGTAAACATTGGACTACTAACTGCAAAGTTGGCAGTTCAAATCCACCAGCCATTCTGTGAGAGAAAGTTGAGCCTTTCTGCTCCTGCAAAGATTTATAGTCTTGGAAACCCTATATACAGGTCACTATAAGTCAAAAATCGACTCAATGACAATGAAGGAGCACCTGCTAAGTTTTAGGAGCATGGAGAGGAGAGAAGCATCATGGGCTACCCTGGCCAGGTGGATGGATGAGTGTAGTTTCATGTCATTGCCCTGATCCCTAGAGTCAATATACATTCAACCTGTGAATGAACTCAGGGTCAGGGTGACAGGGCAGGCCGGGGGAACTAGGTGAATTTGGATGCGGTAGCTGTAAGATTTTGATGGTGGTAGCTATTGAGTCAGTAGACATACTTGCCTGCTGTTCTGGAGAATATTAGGGTTTTATACCCAGGTTTAGAAAACATCTGCTAGGAAAAATAGAATTATAGGAGTAAATATTAGTAGTAAGGGGGTGGGAGCAATGACTCTCAATTGGACTTTTATTGGAATTATTTGGATGTTCCTCTTCAATCCTGATACGTTCCCATAGTGGGTGGTGGTGGTGGTTATGTGCTGTGAAGTTGGTTCCGACTCATAGTGACCCTGTACAGGGTTTCTGAGGCTAGAAATCTTTATGGGAGCAGAAAGCCTCATCTTTCTCCCTAGGAACAGCTGGTAGTTTCAAACTGCTGACCTTAAGGTTCGCAGCCCGATTTGTAACCACTATGCTGGGTGGGAGTTTAAAAAGAAACTACCTAAGTCCTTCTGGTGTTTCTACTTCACTAAGTTTAAATGGCCAGGGGCTAGGGGTGGGATGAGGAAGAGAGCTTGGCTGTAGAGGGGCAACACAGGGGATCCTTGTGGTGAGGGGACTCTTCTGTGACTTCCCAGTCAGTGTCAACATCCTGGCTGTGAGGTTTTACTATATAGTTTCAACAAGATGTTACACTGGAGAAAACTGAGTAAAATGTACATGAGTTCTTTCTCTCTCATTAACAGCTTCGTGTGGATCTATAATTACCTCATAATAAAAGTTTAATGACAATCACTGGGGTAGAGAGAAGAAACTGCCTTGCTAAGGCAACTGCAGTTCCAGCCTTCACATTGTGTTGTTAAGTGCTGTTGAGTTGCTTCCTACCCATAGCAACCCTGTATAGGGTTTCTGAGGGATGACTGGTGAATTTGAACTGTTGACCTTGCATTTCAAACGGACCTTGTGGTCAAGTGCTTATCCTACAGCACCACACCAGGACTACAGCCATCGTGTTGTTAAGTGCTGTCGAGTTGGTTCTGACCCAGAGCAACCTGTGTATAGGGTTGACGATGAGTGGCTGGTGAGCTTGAACCACCAACCTTGTGGATCAAACTGACTTTGCAGTCAGCGCATTAACCTACGGCATCAAACATCAGGATTTCGAGTATCATGTTGTTATGTGTAATCGAATTGGTTCCTACCCCTAGCGACCTTGTATAGAGTTTCAGAGGAGCAGCTGGTGAGTTTGAACTGCTGATCTTGCGGTTCAAACCGATTTTGATGTCCAGAGCATTAACCCCCAGTGCCACGCCAGGATTTCAGTAAGTGCCGTCAAGTTGATTCTGACCCATAGCGACCCTATATAGGGTTTCCAAGGAGCTGCTGGTAAACTTGAACCACTGATTAGGGGGGTGAGTTAATGAAGTGTTTGACTAAATATAACAGGCTAATTTTTAAGTTGATAATTTTGTATGGCTGTGAATGATGTTATAAATTTTGGCAGAAAAACGTTCCCCACCCCTGCTTTAAACCTTCCACTGACCCCTTCTTTGGGAAGTCTTAGGGTGTTTTCAGGTGGAAGTAATTGGCCCAGGATTTATGCAGTGACCCTTCTAATGAACACGAACTCCAGAGGTCATCTTTCTTTTCAGTGTCTCTCGAGTTTGGAGCAGAAGAAATACTGATTCAAACCCTTTGGCATTAAGGCTCTCTTACTCTAAGAAGACCCTCAGTGAGATGAATTAACATAGTGACTGTAATAAGGGGCTCAAACAGGTGGTGTAGGACTGGGCAGTGTTTTATTCTGTTGTAACATAGGGTCTCATTAAGTCGGAACCTACCCAAAGGAACCTAACAACAATAACAAAAACAATACTTTCGGAGGTTTAGTGTGACTTATGATGAACAAAGGGACCTTTGCCTGAGGAGACCTAAGCCTGCCACCCAGACCTAGCCCTTGTGGAGAGCTTGTTGTTGTTGTTGTTGTTAAGTGCCATCGAGTCGGTTCCGACCCATAGCGACCCAGTACAGGGTTTCCAAGGGGTGTAAATCTTTACGGGAGTAGAAAGCCTCATCTTTCTCCCGCCAAGCGGCTGGTAGTGGAGAACTTGAGGAGGGAAGTATTTGGGGACTGGATCCTGAATGCAGGGCAAGGCACAGCCTGGTATCTAGTGCCCCCTAGTGGATCCATCATTGTCCTGCAAGGTGAAGCAGCTTGGCCTGCACTGGATGATCTTTTTCTGGTTCACCTGAGGTGGCCTTTGCGTGTGGAATTAGATAATCAAGCTGCCCCAGCAACCTCACAGGACCAAGCATAGGCTCTAGGGGCATATGAAAAGCACAGGCTTTTTTTCCCTTTATGTACCCATATTGTTGTCATGTGCGATTGAACTGATTGCAACTCATAGTAAATAGAAGAACTGCCCCATAGGGCTTTTTTTTTTCCTTTCCTTTCCTTTAAATTTATTTTATTTTTTTGAGGAAGGTGGTAGTATATGTAATTTGAAGTTTCATAACCAGTTTCAATTCCATTCATATTAAAACAGCCAAAATTGAAAGTTTTATTTTATGTACAAAGTGTTGGCATTGTTTTTATTGGGTAGATGTGCTTTGGAGAATCCATTCAAAGATGATCACTTAGTCCAACTTTATGAAGCCTAGAGCCTTCACATACTGACGGAATCACTGGTGGCACATATTGAGGCCGTATTTTTGGATGTGGCAAGAGTGGGCACCTGACTCCAGTAAGAGTTGCTGGTGACCCATCTTGCTTTGAGGAATACACCAAGGCAAAAGGTTTATTGTTGTTGTTGAGAATATACATAGCAAAACAGACACAGCAAAAACCATTTCTATAAGTATGTTTCAGTGATACGGACTCTATCCTTCGAGTTGTACAACCATTCTTACTCTCATTTTCTGAGTTGTGATAATTCTGAAAAGAGCAGAATACTCAAGACCGTTTTCAGTAGTTAAGCTAAGCTATTGTTTGTTTTTAAGACTCAGGGAATATTTTTGGTTTAAGTTTTAAAGATTATCTCAGGGAAATAGTTCCAAGAGTTCCATACGATTTAACAAATTTTAAATACACTCTTTTTTTTTTTTTTCTTTAAGAACGACTTAGGTTTACAACAGAAAAGCTGAGCAGAAAGTTGTTGCTGTTAGGTGTTTTTTGAGTTTGCTCCTACTCATAGTGACCTTGTGTACAACAAAACAAAACACTGCCCTGTTCTGTATTACCCTCAGAATTATTATTATGTTTGAGCCTGTTGTTGCAGCCACTGTGTCAATTCAGCTCATTGAGGGTCTTAGTTTTTTCACTGACCCTCTACTTTACCAAGCATGATGTCTGTTTCTAGGCATTGATCCCACCGACAACATGTTCAAAACAACACGTCCAAAATGCCTGAGATGAAGTTTCACTATCCTTGCCTCTAAGCAACATTCTGGCTGTACTTCCAAGACTGATTAGTTTGTTCTTGCGGCAGTCCATGGTACTTTCAATATTCTTTGCTAACACCATAATTCAGATGCATCAATTCTTCTCTATCTGTTGTCCAGCTTTCACATGCATATAAGGCAATTGAAAATACCATGGCTTATGTTAGTTTCAACTCAGTCCCCAAAGTGAAGTCTTTGCTCTTTAAGACATTAATGAGGCCTTTTATAGCACATTTGCCCAATATAGTATGTCATTTGATTTCTTTTATTTTTTAAGCTTTTTATTGTGAATTGAGTGAAGGTTTACACAGCAGATCATCAGTTTTACTTTTAACTAATCATATACTTTGTTTCATTACATGGTTGCAATCTGTTCCACGCACCAACACTTTAACCACTGCATTCCTCCCTGTGCCTCCCACCACCCCCATCTTTCCTCTGCCAATCTCCCTTTGGTTGAATATTGCCTGCCCCATCACCCGTGTCAATGTGTATCTACCCTCTAGCACATGTATCATTTCCTCCTCCCCCCAAAACCATCATAGATTATTTCTTTTATCAAGAAAACCCCCCATTTGTTTTGCTTTGTTCTTCTTTTATGTACAAATCAAAATAACACATGCAGGAATATATAATCGTTTAAAGAACCAAAGGGCATATTCTGGAAGCCAGCCTCCTGGCCACCAACACACAGCCTTTCTTGTCATTTGATTTCTTGACTGCCACTTCCAGGAGCATTGATTGTGAATCTAAGTAAAATGAAATCCCTGACGACTTCAGTCTTTCTTTGTTTATCATGCTATTTATTGGTCCAGTTGTAAGGGTTTTTGTTTTCTTTACATTGAGTTGTAATTCATATGAAAGGCTAGATCAGCAGAGCTTCAAGTCTTCGTTATTTTCAGCAGGCAAGGTCTTGTCATTTGCATATTGTATATTACAATGCTGATGATGTGTTCTTCTTCATATAGTCCAGGCTCTCCTGGATATTTGCTCATTATGCAGATTGAGTAAGTATGGTGAAAGAATACAACCCTAATGCACACCTTTCCTGATTTTAAGCATGCAGTATCTTCTTGTTCTGCTTGATCAATTGCCTTTAGGTTTATGTATAGGTTCCATATGAGCACAATGAAGTGTTCTGAGATTCCCACTTTTCATAATGTTATCCTTAGTTTTCCCACACAGTTGAATAACTTTGCATTCAATAAAATACAAACAAACATTTTTCTGGTATTTTCTGCTTTCAGCCAAAATCTATCTTATGGTCAGCAATGATATCCCTCATTTATGTCCTCTTCTGAATCCAACTTGAATATCTGGCAGTTTCCTGTTGATGTACTCCTGCAACTGTTTTTGAATTATCATCAACAAAATTTTACTTGCATATGGTATTAATTATATTGTTCAGTGATTTTCACATTCTGTTGGGTCACCTTTCTTTCGGGTGGGCACAATATGGATCTTTTCCAGTTGATTGACCAAGTAGCTGTCTTCCAAATTTCTTGGCATAGACTAATGTGTTTTTCCAGTGTTGCATCAGTTTGCTGAAACCTTCCTGTGATCTTTGATCTTCATCAGTAAGTATTTAAGTCCTTTTTGCTTTCAACAAGCAAGGTAGTATCATCTGCATATCATAGGTTGTTTAGGAGTCATCTTCCAATCCTGATGCCACATTCTTCTTCATATAATCCAGCTTCTTGGATTATTTGCTCAGTGTACAGATTGAGTAAGTATGGTGAAAGAATACAACCCTGGTGCATACCTTTCTTGATTTTAAACTTTTCAGGGTCCCTTTGTTCTGTTCGAAGACTGCCTCTTGATCCATGTACAGGTTCTTTATGAGCAAAATTAAGTGTTCCATGTTATCCATAGCTTGTCATGTTTCACATAGTCAAAAGCCTTTGAATAGTAAATAAAGCACAGGTAAACATTTTTCTGGTATTCTCTGCTTTCAGCCAAGATCCATCTGATATCAGCAATAATATCTCTGGTTCTATGTCCTCTTTTGAATCTGACTTGAGTTTCTGGCAGCTTCTTATTGATGTATTTCTGCAATTGTTTTTGAATTATCTTCAGCAAAATTTTACTTTTGTATGTGATATTCGTGATATTGCATTCCATTGGGTCACCTTTCTTTGCAATGGGAACAAATATGGATCTCTTCCAGTCAGTTGGCCAGGTATCTGTCTTCCAAATTTCTTGGCATACATGAGTGAGTGCCTCCAGTGCTGCATCAGTTTGTTGAAAGATTTCAACTTGTATTCCATCAGTTTCCAGAGCCTTGTTCTTTGCCAATGCCTTCAGTGTACCTTGGATTTCTTCCTTCAGTACCATTGGCTCTGGATCTTAAGCTATCTCTTGAAATGGACAAACATCAACCATTTCTTTTTGGTATAGTGACTGTATATTCTTCTCATCTTCTTTTAATGCTTTTGCATCATTCAACATTTTCCTCATAGAACCCTTCAATATTGCAAGTCAAGGCTTGAATTTTTTCTTCAGTTCTTTCAGCTTGAGAAATGCTGAGCGTGTTCTATTGGTTTTCTGACTCCAGGTCTTTTCACATTTCTTTATTATACTAGATTATGTTATCTCGAATCATCCCTTTGAAAATTTCTGTTCAACTCTTTTACTTCCTCATTTCTTATATTTGCTTTAGCATCTCTATACTGCAGAGCTAGTTTCAGAGTCTCTTCTGACATCCATTTTGGTCTTTTCCTTTTTTCTTGTCTTCATAATAACCTTTTGCTTTCTTCCTGTGTGATGTTCTTTGATGTCATCCCATAACTCTTCTGGTCTTTGGTCATTAGTGTCTAATGCATCAGATCTGTTCTTGAGATGTTCTTTGAATTCAGGTGAGATATGTTCAAGATCAAATTTTGGCTCTCGTGGACTTGTTTTCATTTTCTTCAGCCTCAGCCTGAACTTGCATATGAGCAACTGATGGTCTGTTTCACAGGCTGCTCCTGAGCTAGTTTTGGCTGATGATATGGAGCTTTTCCACTATCTCTTTCCACAGATGTAGTCAATTTGATTTCTCTGTATTCCATCTGGTGAGGTCTATGTGTATAGTCATCTTTTTTTTGTTGTTGTTCAAAAAGGTATTTGCAATGAAGAAGTCAGTGGTCTTGCCAAATTCTATTATTCTGTCTCCAGCATCGATCGCTTCTATCACTGAGGCCATACTTTCCAACTATTGATACTTCCTTTTGTTTCCAGCCTTTATATTCCATCTTGGTTGCACATTTGATCAATTTCAGACTGAAGAAGTCAGTAGAATTCTTAAATTTCATCACAACTGGTTTTATTAGTTTTAAGTTTTAATAAGTGTAGTAATTGGTTTTCCTTGGGCCAGTTACAAGAAAGACCAGTTGTGCCTTGATAGCGCATTCTTTTTATAGATGAATAATAATCCATTTTGTAGATAGACCATAGTTTGCTTATTTATTTATCTACTGAAGGATATTTCGGTTCTGTCAAATTTTTGGCATTTGTTAATGCTTTTGTACACATACATGTGCATATTTTTGTATGGACATACACTGTCAAATAATTTGATTCCTTTATTAAAAATTGCCTTTCAAAATGACTATACCATTTTTCACTCCTTCCAGCAATGAATGAAAATTCCTATAACTCCACGTCCTTGTCAGCACTTGGTGGCATCAGTGTTTTGAATTTTAGCTACTCTAATGAGTGGATCAGGAATCCTGCTAGCCTAATGGGTTACGTGTTGGACTGCTAACCTCAAGGTCAGCATTCAAATCCGCCAGTGGTTTAATGGGGAAAAAGATGTGGCTTTCTGCTCCGGGAAAGATTTACAGTCTTGGAAACTCTATAAAGGGTTCCTGTGAGTCGCAACTAACTTGACAGCATGCAGCAGCAGCAGCAATAAATGGGTAGTGGTATTTAATTTTTTTTTTTTCTTCTAAATTTATTTTTTATTGTTGAGAATCTACACAGCGAAACATACATGAACCCAGCAGTTTCTACTTGTACACTTTAGTGACAGTGATTACATCTTTCAAGAATGGTACAATCATTCCCACCTGTTTTTTGAAGTTGTTCCTCTTCCACTGACATATATTCACTGCCCCCTAAGGTTCCTAGCTAATCTTTCTAATTGCTGTTATCAGTTTGATCCCACATACATAGCTAAACCATTGTTTAGTTTTAGAATGATTCCAGGGGGTATATTTGGCTTAAGGTTTAAAGATTAACTCAGTTTCATTCATCCTCCATCGCTCCAGAAAGTGTAGAGGCCATGAAAATTTGAAATTCTGTTCTGCATTTTACCCCTTTTGTTTAGGGTTTTTCTACAGAAACTTTGATCAGAATATGCAGTAATGGTCACTGGGCACCATCTAGTTATTTCATGTAGGAAATTAGCTACACATTCAATATTCTTTTCCTATTTCTGACTCTTCTTCCTCTGTTGTTCCAGATCAGTAGAGACCAATTGTTACTACTTGGATGACTGCCTGCAAGCTTATACATGTCTCTCTGTACCTTACCTTTCCCTTTAAGTAGGATCACTCACTGGCTGCAGGCCATATGTGCTATGCCCTGTCTGCCTCTTGGAACACCACACTGGCTTTTGTTGCTTGGTTTTCTACCATCTTTCTAAACTACTTGGTAATAGTTTTTTCTTTTATTTCTCTGGTCAACCAAGAAGGTATCAGATATTTAATGACACAAGGGTAACTTGGGAAGAGTAGCCACAGAAACACCTAGACTGTGTATTAACTCCGAGAGTGGTAGTAAGGTTGCATACAGTCTTCATTCCCCATCAGTTGTGCAATGTAGATTCTCCCCTGTGCCCAGGACTGACTAATGTCCTCTTATTCTGCCCTAGGAACTGATCGACCTCAAGATGCTTCAGTGCAAGAGAGTTGTCAATGGTGAGTGCAGCTCTGGCCCTGGGATTGTGTGTGTGACTGGTCAGGCCCAAACAGCGCTGCCATTTCCCTTGCCCAGAAGTGACAAGTCCTGCTAAGGACTCTTCCTGCCTGGTGGCATCATGTGGTTTTGTGGATCACATGCTTCCTTAAGAGCAATCACTGCTCTCCAGAGACTATGACAAAAAACTGAATGTGAAACAGGCTAAGAATGCTTCCTTCCCATAGATTTTCTGGAGAATTAGTTGCCATCATGTTTATTGGTAGACTTGGAGCTTGGAAATCAGATGGCTCTTGCACCGGTCCTGACTCTGCTACTCACTAGCTGTGTGACTTTGGGCAAGCCACGTGACTTTTCTCTGCAAAATGAAAACTATAATCCTTGGTTCACTTAAATAATAGAGCTGGAGTTAGGATCAAATAAGATAAAGTATCTGCAAGTACTTTGCACACATTAAGCTTTGTGCAAAGGGAAGGTGATTATGATGAATTGTGGTTTTACTTATCCTTTATTGATGAGAATGATTCTGCTTCGGGTAAAGTTGTATTGTTTGAGGTTTTTGAAATATATATATATAATTGAAATCTTAATATAAGTTTACTGGAAGTTATGACTCAATTTTCTCTTTTTTAATTAAGGAAATTTTGCAACATATCTAAAAGTAGAGAGACTAGTATGCTCCTTCTACGTACCCATCACCCAGTTTCTACATGATCAGCACATGGCCAATCTTGTTTAGTCTAAACTCACTGGATTATTTTGAATCAGACCCTAGTCATATCACTGTATCAGTCTAAATTGCTGAGAAGAAACTGGGGTGGTGCTGTGGGTAACTGTGGGTAAGCATTTGGCTGCTCCTTGGGAGAAAGATATGTTTGTTCCTGAGAAGATCACAATTTCGGAAACCTTCTGGGGCAGTTCTACTGCTTTACATAGTTGCTGTAATTTGGAATTGACAAAATGCCAACAGATGATGTTAAAAGATAAGGACTCTTTGAAAAAACATAATCACAGTAACAGCATCATATCTCAAAAAAATCAATATTAAATCTTAATATGAACAGCTATCTGGTCAGTGTTCAAATTTTCTGCTATAATCTTTAATTTTGTCTTTTATTGTTTCCAATTTATGTTTCCCTTTTTAAAAAAATTTTTATTTTGAGTTGAGTAAAGGTTTACAGACAAGATCATCAGGTTTATAATCAACAAATTGTACACTTTGTTTCATCTCAATAATTACATTTCCCTACCTGCAACAACAGTTAGTGTATTTCCTCACTTTGGCTCCTCATTTACAGCTTGTATTTCACAAATGAACAAAGCAAACATATTTGATGTATACTTGTAAAACAAAAAAATATATATTCACTTAAATGTCCAGAGGGCACATTCTACAACCTAGCCTTCTGCCGGTAGGCACACAGCCTTACTCAGCCCATGGACCTAGACCCCGCAGCAGGTCAGTCTCTCCATGTCAATCCTCAGTTAGCCACCTTCTCTTTTGTCACTGTTTTTTTAGGTAGGGATCTTACTCTCCACTCATGTTCTTCCTTCTTGCTGGTCCAAAGATCATCTGTTCCTGAAATGAAAGATTTACTACTCCCCCTTTTAGTTGAACATCTTCCACAATTAAAGTTGTTATGTTTCCTTTTTCTTTATTAAATATTTATGTATTATAGATCTAGATAACCTAGAAAACGTGAAAACCCTTCCTTTTCCCACATTTCAAGAGGTAATCACAGAGAGAAATTATGTTGATTCCTTGAAATATTTTTAACATACATATTAGTGGGAGTATAAAAATATAACATGTTTATATATATTTTCTACCATTCATCTGTCAGATTGACGTACTGTGGTGGCTTGTGTGCTGCTGTGATTCTGAAAGCTATGCCACCAGTATTTTAAATACCAGCAGGGTCACAAGCTGGAATCAGAAGAGAACATGGAACAAGGAATATCATTACTGTTGTTAGAAGGATCTTGACAGAAAGCAGAGAATACCAGAAAGATGTTTACCCTGTGCTTCATTGACTGCACAAAGGCTTTGGATTGTGTAGATCATGAGAAGCTATGGACAGCATTACGAAGTATGCGTATTCCAGAGCACTTAATTGTGCTCATGAGGAACCTATACATAGACCAAGATGTAGTTGTTCGAACAGAACAAGAGAACACCGAATGGTTTAAAATTAGGAAGAGTGTGCGCCAGGGTTGTATTCTTTCACCATATTTATTCAATCTGAGAAGCTGGGTTATATGAAAAAATATGTGGCGTCAGGATGGAGGAAGACTCATGAACAACCTGCAATATGCAGATAATACAACCTTGCTTGCTGAAAGTGAAGAGGACTTAAAATACTTACTGATGGAGGTCAAAGACCACAGTCTTCAGTATGGGTTGCATCTCAATGCAAAGAACACAAAATTCCTTACCACCGGACCAATAAACAACATCCATATAAATGGAGAAAAGATTGAAGTTGTTAAAGACTTCGTTTTGCTCAGATCAACCATCAACACTCATGGAAGCAGTAGTCAACTAACATATTGCATTAGGCAAATCAGCACAAAACCTCTTTAAAGTGATGAAGAGCAAAGATGTCAATTTGAAGACTAAGGTGCTCCTGACTCAAGCCATAGTATTTTCATTTGCCTCATATGCATGTGAAAGTTGGACAGTGAATAAGGAAGACTGTAGAATTGATGCATTTGAGTTACGGTGTTGGAGGAGATTATTGAAAATATCATGGACTGCCAAAAGAACAAACATCTGTATTGGAGGAATTATAGTCAGATTGCTCCTTGGAAGCTAGGATGGCCAGACTTTGTCACATACTTCGGACATATCAGGAGAGACCAGACACTGGAGGATGTCATGTTTGGTAAAGTTATAGGTCGGAGAAAAAGAGGAAGACTCCTAGCGAGATGGATTGGCACAGTGGTGGCAGCAATTGGCTCAGGCATAGCCACAATTGTGTAATTGGCCCAGGACTGGGCAGTGTTTTGTTCTGTTGTGCATAGGGTCGCTATGAGTTGGTACTGACTTGATGACACCTAACAACCTAACAATAAGGGTCACCCATGGTGGAATGGTATTAGCTGAGCTAAAACAGACTAGGAAGAAGGCACTCACTCACTCATCTGTGCAAGGCATTTGGAAGAAAGCTACCTGGCCAACTGACTGGAAGAAATCCATATTTGTGCCCATTCCAAAGAGAGGTGATCTAATGGAATGCAGATGTCAGGACAATATAATTAATATTTCATCAAGTTAAATTTTGCTAAACATAATTAAAAAGTTGCTACAATAGTACATGGAGTCCTGGTGTGGTGCTGTGGGTTAATGCGCCAGACTGCAAAGCCTTTTGAACTACAAGGTCGGTAGTTCAAGCTCACCAGTTGCACCTTGGTAACCCTATACAGGGTCGCGATGGGTCGGAACTGACTTGATGGAACTTAACAACAATAGTACCTTGGCAGAAAACTGCCAGAGCTTCAGGCCAGATTCAGATGAGGATGGGCAGTGAGGGATATCATTATTGATGTCAAATTGATCTTGACTGAAAACAAAATAACAGAAAGATGTTTACCTGTGCTTTATTGACTATGCAAAGGCTTTCAACTACGTGGATCATGACAAGCTATCAACAACATTGCGAAGTATTTGAAACACTTAATTGTGCTTTTGGGGAAAATATACATAGATAAAGAGACAGTTGTTAGAACGGAACAAGTGAACACTGAATGGTTTAAAATTTGGAAAGGTGTGGCCAGGGTTGTATTCTTTCACCATACTTATTCAATATGTATGCTGAGTACATAATTCAAGAAAATGGATTATATGAAGAAAAATATGGCATCAGGATTGGAGGAAGACTCATTAACAACCTGCGATATGCAGATGATTCAACTTTGCTTGCTGAAAATGAAGAGGACTTAAAATACTTACTGATGAAGATCAAAGACCACAGCGTTCATTATGAATTGTACCTCAATATAAAGAGAACAGAAATCCTCACCACTGGACCAATAAACAACATCCATATAAATGGAGGAAAGATTGAAGTTGTCAGAGATTTCATTTTGCTCAGATAACCATCAACACATATGGAAGCAGTAATCAAGAAATAAAATTGCATTAAGCAGATCTACTGTACAAGACCTCTTTAAAGAGTTCAAGAGCAAAGATGTCAGTTTGAGCGACTTTAAGGTGTGCCTGACCCAAGCCATGGTAGTTTCAGTAACTTCATATGCATGTGAAAGTTGAACAGTGAGCAAGGAAGACTATAGAAGAATTGACGTATTTGAGTTATGGTGTTGGAGGAGAATATTGAAAGTATCATGGACTGCCAAAAGAACAGATCTGTACTTGAAGAATTACAGTCAGATTGGTCCTTGGAAGTCAGGATGGCCAGACTTCCTCGCTCATATTTTTGGACATATTATCAGGCAAAGTAGAGGGTCAAGAGGAATACCCCCAAGGAGATGAATTGGCACGGTGGCAGCAACAATGGACTCAAGTGTGGCAATGATTTTGGGGTTGGCGCAGGACTAAAGCAATATTTTGTTGTGCGTAGGGTCACTATAGATTGGTACTGACTTGATGGCACTTATCAACAACAACACCATACATATATTTTGCCTCTAAGTGGGATCGTATTGTTTACATTTTAAAGAAGTTATTATTATTGTGATATGTAAACTGAAACATTTATAACTTCAACTAATTTAGTGACATTATATCCATTATTCGGTACAACTATCCATTTACACATACTGGTTTGCCACTTCCTTTTCTATTAGGACATATTTCTGTGTCAGTAGCTATAGATGTTTGTATTTGAATTCATTTCATCAGTGCCGTAAAGGTGGTTTCCAATATTATGCTTCATACATAAAACTGTGCTAAAGCACAGCATGTTTTTGTGGTTCTTCTCTCAGACTCTTTACTGCCGGCCACAAGTCCACTCAGGGGTCACTTCTGTTACCCTTACAACATGTCATTGTCTTTGCCCTACACTTTTTAACCTTTTCTAATCGCTTCAGTGCTAGTATAATAATAACTGTTTCCATTTATGGAAGTTCTCATGTGCATTAAATGTCTAATTTATTTCTCAAAACAGCTTTTGAGGTAGGAATATTCTCCATCTGCCCTCTGGATTCTCTTTCACATAGTCTGATACTCATCTTTTAAAACTATCATAGAACTTCATTATGAATGTTATTGTTGTTGTTAAGTGCCATCAAATCGGTTCTGACCCATAGCAATCCTGTATAGGGTTTCCAAGGAGCAGCTGGTGAGCTTGAACCGGTAACCTTGTGGTTCAAACTAACTTTGTAGTCCAGTGCATTAACCCACAGCGCCACACCAGGACTCCACTCGTTGTGAATAGCAGATGAGATAGCATAGTAAATCTCTGTTCCTGGTACCTGGCATGTGGTAAGTAATTAAGAAACAATACCTTTGTTGAACTTCAGAGTAACATCTTGGAAAATTGGGGTAAAATCTGAAACACAAAGTTTGATGTATATACTCTTTTTTTCCAACATTTAAAAATAATAAAGTGTAACAAGCATACAGAAAAAAATACATAAAACACAAACATGTAGTTGAACAAATAACTGTAAAGCAAACAGTCATGTAGCCCTCATCCCGGTAGGAAATAGACCGTCTGCAGCACCAAAGAAGACTTCTTTACGCACACTTTTTCTTTAAGAACGGGTACACTTCTAGGATCCTTTTTTTGTTAAGGTGATACTTTGATTGTGCTATTTTCCAGGGGTTAGGCTAGGTTGAACTTGCTTCTTTATTGGGTGGTTACATGTTTTGTGTTTTCTTGCAGAGGTGCTCAGCACAGTGGACTTTGTCGCCCCTGATGACCGAGTTGTCTTCCGAACTTGTGCGAGAGAACAGAATAAGGTTGTCTTCCAGTTGGTAAGAGAGTCTATGACTGGAAGTTATACTCTAGGAGTCTACTGCGTGGCTCTCATCTCAAATTTAATTCACTTAGTTTTAGCATTTTCTTGTTTGGCACAATTTATATGTATTTTTTAAATCCCTGGTATCATTATTCAGATCATGGTCTTTGTTTTTATGTAGTTTGTATATGTTTCCTTTAAAAAGAAATTAGCTTTTCCTTCAAGACTATTTAGGTTATATGCTAGAAGTGTAATGACCATCTAATCCTCTTCCTTCTATCCTTTTCTTAACCCTTTGCTTTGGGCATTTCTTGGTCATTTTTTAGACGTAGCTCCTGTATAATGTTTAGATTTTTAAAATGGATAACAATGGGTAGATATGTGATAAGGCACATAGAGCAAAATCTTAATTCTAGAATCTAAATGGTGGCCATATGAATGTTCATGATAAAATTCTTTGAACTTTTCTGAAATGTACATTTCCATAATGAAATGATGAAGGGAAATCAGTCATTACAGCATTGGTTTTCTAGGCCCTCAGTGTCTACTACTTCTCTCTGGTAGTGAGCTAGCCCAGTGGGCTCACTGTTGAAGAGAACACCAGGCCAACTGTATTGTTTTGTGCACATGTGTGTGTGTGTGTAGTGTGCTTGGGTGAGTCTGTGCATGGGAACCTATGTTAGGGTGGTGGTTGATGCAGCCTCTTGTGTTCCCAGGGTACTTCAGATGCAGAGCGAGCCCTTGCTGTGGCCAGGCTGGTGTAAGTTCTTCCACTTTGCCTCTTCTGTGGACCGTGAGGCCTAATGTCACTGGTGACCTTGGAGGTGACTCACCCTTCTGCCACTCTTCAGCCCATGACCTCTGACTCCAGATGCCGAGTGTCTGCTTCTTTCTTTGTGGCATTCAAGGACTGGTCTGGGTCTCATATACCCACTGTGCCCAGATCTCCAAGAACCTCTGTATGGGACGTTTTTTAGTGTTTATTCATGAAGCTCCCTTTTCAGGGACTCATGATTATAAATCTGAGGGTGTAAATCATGAAGTGTTATTAAGACTTATTGTTTCCAAAGTGAAGGAAAGGAGCTCTGGTAGTGTAGTGGTTACGAGTTGGGCTGCCAGCCTCAAGGTCAGCAGTTTGAAACTACCAGCGGTTCCGTGGGAGAAAGATGAGGCGTTCTGTTCCCGTAGAGATTTACAGCCTTAGACTAAAGATTACAGCCTTAGGCATTCTGTACCTGTAAAGATTTACAGCCTCAGAAACCCTGTGCAGGGTGATTATGAGTCGGAACTGACTCCGCGGTACTTACCAACAACAACAACAAATTAAGGAAGGCAGGATAGTACAGTGGTGAAAGAGATGGATTTGAAATTAGACTGGGCTGGAATTCTGACTTTCCAACATGTTAATTGTGGTTCCTTAGTCAAGTTACTTAAACTTGCTGAGAACTTAGTTTCCTTGTTGATAAAATGAGACCAATAGCTAGCTAGTAAGGGACTCAGGAGCATAGCTCCATAGCTCTGGTATTGTGGAGAAGGGAGACTGAGAGAATGCATGTCGGTGTCTTGACAGTGTGTGGCACATAGTAAGTGCTTTGTAAGTAGCAGCTATTTTATGTATACAGTAAGGGTAAGGAGGAACTCGGCCAGTAGTTGCTGCTGATCACATAGTGTACATAGCACAGGATAAGGTGAGGGTGCTTTATACATGAATTGTTTGGAGTAAGCCAACTGTGCAGCTCAGCAAGCAGGCAACCCTGGGAACTTTAGCCAGAAGCAATCCTCTTGGAAAAAGCACTAGTGTTCATGTCACTTTTCTGCATTGACAAATGACTCTCATCACCCAAGTCAGAGCTCTGGGGCGGAGTTTAGCATGCCGGCCACTCAGTAGTTGATCGAGTTATTTGATACAGCTCTAAAATAGCCAAGTCCTCTCTGACCAGCCCTTTATATTCTAGCACAGAAAGGAGCTGATTGGAGAGATTTGTCCTTTTGAGCTCTGCTCAGATGAGCAGTTGCACATGATTGGGAGAGGTTTCTTTTCAGCTTTCGTCATTGAGGGTTGATGTTTCTCATTGGGTCAGGGACACAGGGAGGGGTTTATGAGCATCGCTCCATGCATTTGACTCTGTCTTCTCCCTTCAAGGTGAATATGCATTACCTTTCCGCCTTCATATTTTTCCAGAGAAAATGATGTAGCTGGTATTGATGTCAACATGGGCTGTCCAAAAGAGTATTCCACCAAGGTAAAGTAACTTCTTTATACTCTTCACAAATATATGTTCCAGCCTGAAGAGGCTAATAAGACATGACTGCTAAGTGCAGTGCATGACCCTGGACTGATCCTGTCTTGGGTGGTGAAAAGTGCTCGAAAGGACAATGTTAAAGCAACTCGCCAAATTGAAACATGGACCACAGTAGATTAGATCAAAGTAAGTACTAATGTAAATTTATGAAGTTGAAAATTGCTCTTTGGTTATGTAAAAGAATATCCTTATTCTTTGGAAATACAATGAGGGGTAAGGGCTATGAAGTATTTACCAAAAATAACCCAGGCTCACTGCCATTAAATTGATTCTGACATACAGTAACCCTGCAGGTCAGAAGAGAACTGCCTTGTAGCGTTTTCAAGGCAGTAAAACTTTACAGAAGCAGACTGCCACATCTTTCTCCTGTTGATGTATATAACTTGTTGTTGTTAAGGGCTGTTGAGTGAGTTCCGACTCATAACGATACTGTATAGGGTTTCAGAGGAGAAGCTGGTGGGTTTGAACCACTGACCTTGCAGTTAGCAGTCTAATGCTTATCCTACGATGCCACACCAGGTAATTTCCTCATACAGTTCAGGAAATATTATCCACACTCACAGAGAGTGAAAGTGCACTCACACACAGTTATTAAACATTTTAAATCAAAAAGTCACCCAGGCTTTTTTTTTCTTGAGTGAAATTGGGATAAAAATCAAGAACAAATAAAGGATGCTATGTGTATGTCCCCTTTGTCATATCAGAAGAGATCAGACAGTGGTGCGGAAACCTGAGAAAGGAGAGGTAAGGCAGTTCTGAAACATGGGATCTTGTAGAGGTGTGCCCTTGATGGGATTTGGGACCCTGCAGGCTGAGGGGATGGTGCATCAGAGGCCTAGAGGCCAACATGAAGGTGGAAACAACTGTGAGTAACAAGAGTTGACCAGAGAGTTGGGCAGTGGGAGATGAAGAAGAAGCAGTGGAGTACCAGATGGAAAACCTTGGTGGGAACACATCACTGGATGTGGACTTTTGCTGTCTTTTGCTTTTTTTGAGCTGAGAAATGAGCTATAATCAGACTTGATTAGGATATACTAAATTGGTGGGTGACGGGGAAGAGACTTGAGGTTGGATCACAGATCTGGGAGATGAGTATTCTGGACTTCAGGAGAGAAAGAGAAGCCAAACTGCAGCAGAAATTGACAACACTTAACTGGCAAATGACTGGCTAAAGTGTATGATGGGAGCAGAGAGAGGAAAGATTGACAACTTTTGGGGGATAGTTGGTCTTCAGCCATTATCGAGACTATTGGAGGATGAACTTGGGTGGAGCAGATAGCAAAGGCAGTTTAGGGGATTCTAAGTGTTAGGCACTGGGGGACTCCTGCTAAGCCTGCCCATGGGAACCTTGTCATAGGGTGAAAGGTCATGGTCCTCAGTGTAAACTTGCAAATGTCCCTCAGGGCCCACTCTGTTCTCTGGAATTACTTAGCCTTGAGACTTTGGCTGTGGACCAGGAGGTTGTGAGCTGACTTATGACCTGAGGGAATAAGCCCTCTGATGCTTGAAAACCACAGGGCCTTGCAGGCAGCTGCTTCAGGGAACTGAGAAGGTTTTCAGTTGCCTAGGAGGAGCTCTGGTAGAGTAGTAGTTACAAGTTGGGCTGCTCATCTCACGGTCAGCAGTTATAAACTACCAGCAGTTCCACGGGAAAAAGATGAGGCTTTCTGTTCCCATAAGGATTTACAGCCTCGTAAACCCTGTACAGGGTCTCTGTGAGTCAGAACCGACTCCATGGCATATAACAACAACAACAATTATACCTTTGGAACTGCTGACCTGCTAACCACAAGGTTGGCTAGTCAAACCCAACAGCTGCTCCTCTATACAGGGTTGCTATGAGTCAGAACTGACTTTTGATGGCACTTAGCAACAACAATTACACCTTTAGAATCCGAATCCGATGTGGTGCTGTAGGATAAGCATTTGGCCACAAGGTTGGATGAAATGCAAGGTCAGCAGTTCAAACTCACCAGCTGCTATGAGTCAGGATAGGGTTGCTGTGAGTTGGAACTAACTCAGTGGCACAGAACAACAACAAAAACAATTACATCTTTATGTTCCTGAGTTAAGTAAGAAGCAGAGTTAAATTATTTGTAGTAATGTCCCTGATACATTGTAGAGCAGAACTGTGTATTGTGAGTCTCCATTTATATTAAGGCAAAATTAGTATTTATATATAGGTTTACTACTTTATTCATAAAATATATCTGGAAAGTCATATAGGAAACTAATAACACTGATTTTCTTTGAGGAGTAAAATTAAGTTGATTAGTGAGACAGAGGTGATAGACTTTGTTTTGCATTTTTATTTGATTTTGCACAGTTAGTAAATTCTCATTGCAGAGGTTTTATTTACAGCAATTAACAGTTGGTAATTGCCCACTTAATTGCACATCAACCTGTCAGATGCCAACCAATAGGCCATACTGGTACATACCAACCTGATTTGTTCTCTTGGTTCAAAAATTGAAACCATAGAAAAAATATAGATTGAAAATCTGCCATTTCTTCAGGAGGAAGTTTTTAGTTTTTACCTTTAGAGCCTCTTAAATTTTGATCAGTGTTAATATATTACATATTCAAAAAAAGGTCAATGAGTGAAAGATAGAAAAAAAAAAAAAAGGAAAGGAGAAAGAAGGGGAAGGAGGGCAGAAAGGGGGGAAGTAAGGAGGAAACATCTGTTGAGGAATGGGCAGTGAGGCTAGATTTTTAGATCCTGTAACCCATCAGCTGCTCCTTGGAAACCCTATACATGGTTGTTATGAGTTAGAACCACTCATCAGCACTTAGTAACAACTCCACAAGGAAGGGTTGGCTAGTGTCATGGAGCCAAGATGATTGTCAAGGCTTTCTCAAGACCTCCATACTATCTGTGGGCAAGGTAGTCCAGGACTAAGGGTTTTACCACCCTTCCCATTCTCCTCTAAGATGTAACCTCAGCCTGGTCAAGTCTATGGTGGTTTTTAATGTTTTCTCTGATTTTTACTCTTTCATCCTTAAACATGAAATTAAACTGTAACTACTGACCTTAAGCCTAAGCCTTTGAATCCCTGTAGATTCATTCAGTCTGAATACTAACAACATAAATTTATTGAATTTGTTTTTTTCCTTTACCTCATTCTTAAAAAAGAGGAAGTGTACATAATGCCTCTGACAAATGAATTCAAATAAGATTTTAAAATAATATTTTTAAGGATTTCCCCCTGATTATTCAAGTAATTCATAATATCATCCCAAATTTAGAAAATATAGAAACACAAAAAAACAACAGGAAAATCACTAGTAAATTGCACCATCAAGAGACAGCCACTGTTAATAGTCAGATTTAAGTGGCTGCACAGGTTGGTGATCTCTGAGCTGGTTTTCTCTTAGAGTTTGGCAGTGGTCTGGGTACTCAGCACTGGCTTGTTGCTGGCTGGAGAGAAGGACAAGATTTGCAGGTTGGGTGCCTCTTGAGTGCCTTTGCTGGTGGTGGTGGTACTAAGCCAAGTGTTGTGTAGGATAAGGGAGAGGGTACATGTGATCTCATTACAAAGGGAGCATGAGTAATTGTTTTGTTTTGTTTTTTTTACAATCCCCTCCATAGTAATTGTTTTTTAAGAGCATGGGAGATGGTAAGATTTCATTTATTAAGATCCTGAGATCCTGGGGAGCGAGTGGGAAAACCTGAAAAATAACTTTAGATAAGTCCGTGGGTTCTGCTAAAAGGATCAGAGTGATGATATGTAGAACTTCTCCAACACTGATTCCTGATATTGTGGGTACTGATGCTGCTTCCTTCTGACTTGTAAGGAGCAGTGCTGATTGCCAGCAAATGATGGTCCTTTAGAGGCAGATGTGTCCCTCCAGGATGCCATGGAATGGGGCCATCCTCAAATACTAAAACAAATCTTTGTACTTTTTCTTAGGGAGGAATGGGAGCTGCTCTGCTGTCAGACCCTGACAAGATTGAGAAGGTAAGTCCTTCGGGGGTCAAAAACCATCTGCCAACCTTTGCTGTTGAGTTGATTCTGACTCACAGTGACCCTATAGAACAGAGTACAACTGCTCTATCTGGGTTTCTGAGACTGTAAATTTTTGTGGGACCAGACAGCCTCATCTTTTTCCTGTGGATCATTTGGTGGGTTTGAACTACTGACCTTGCAGTTAGCAGCCCAATGCATAATTCACAACACCACCTGAGTGCTTTTGGGTAAAAGCAGGGATCTTAAACCAGCAGGATTTCTAACCTCTTGAGTCCAGTTCAATCATGGCTGATGAAGTGACACTGAAATGGACCCAAATTTTTGAAATTGGGTGAATGAGAACATAACCAGTATGAGAAATTACTGGTCAGAACCCTGCTAGAAATTTAATCTCCCTCTCAGGAAACAACACAGCATAGCAACCAAATCTCTTGACCAACTGAGTGGAACACAATAGTGCTTGGCTCAAAGATGGCTGCTGACTGTACCACTTAGAATGTGAGTCGTTTTCTGCAGTCCTGGTCATAATCCGGTCTCTGGCTTCAGACCCTCCTCAAAGGAAGCCTTTCTTTTCCCATTGCAGGGTTTCAACCTGTAATTTTTCCTGTTCCAATTCACGTTCCAGGCCACCCAATTTTTAAGAACTTAGGTCTGTTCTGGTTTTGCTTCTTCAGCCGTGACTCTGAACTGGTTTGTAGCCTTCCTTTAAACATGGTTGTGAACTAGAGGCACTTGAAACATCCTCAACTCCTACTTCAGATTTGCTGTATCATTCTCTACACTTGGGGCCTGGAACTTTGTGAAAAACTTCCCAGTGGTGTGACATGCAACTAGGTTGGGGAACCTGAGCTAGCTGATAGCATTCTTGGAGTCCCTGACTAAACCAGGGCTGGGGACTATACTTAGCTGAGAGCCAGGGAGACCTGCAGATTCCTTTACAGCCCCCTCTATATTGCCCTAGGTCTGTCTGGGATGATCCTGAGAGAAGAGGTCAGACTGTTTGTGGATTGTAACAGATTCTGTGACTATGGAGGTGGTGAACTGGTGTCTCTGGAGCTGGATGAGAGCAGTTGTGGGTCCTCTGCATGCTGTAGTCTGCCACCAGTCCTTGGAGAGCAGGCTGGGCCAGGGTTAAATGAGGCAAGCTGAAGTTATACTCCCTCTGTGCCCCTTCCCTGAGTGATTCTGCAGGCCAAGCTAACGAGGCTCCAGGGGCAGGTTGGCGTTCGATGCCTAGTACTTTGAGCTGCCAGGGCATGTGGGGTGACATTTGTTGCTATACCATATGCATTCTTTGCTTTCCTGCCTGTCCACCAGCTTTCTCCTTGTTATTCTTCTTAGCTCCATTGTTTTCCTTTGCAGTCTTTATCCCTACTTTATGGACTTTCAGGCTAGGGTAATTTGGGGGTAAGGTGCTGCCAAGAGAAGTCGTTGTTATTTGGGCTGGCTGCTGTATTTTGCGTCTAGGAAAACCACCATGATAATTAGGTCCCTTCTCATTTTTTCCAGGTAGTCACAGATGATGTTCTTTTGTTTTTGTTGTTGTGTGTTGTTGAGCCAATTCCAACTCCTAGTGACCCCATATGACAGAATAAAACTACTCTGGTGTGGCACTGTAAAATCAGCACTGGATTGCTAGCCACAAGGTCAGTGGTTCAAACCCATCAGCCTCTCTTTGGAAATCTGATACAGGATCGCTATAAGTCAGAACTGACACGAAGGCATTTAGTGTAGTGGTTACGAATCTGGCTGCTAACCTCAGGGTCATCAGTTTGAAACTACCAGCTATTCCATGGGAGAAAGATGAGGCTTACTGCTCCCATAAAGATTTACAGCCTCGGAAACCCTGTACAGGGTCGCTGTGAGTTGGAACCGACTCCACAGCACATAACAACAACATATGGACTGCAGGTGTGGTGCTGTAGGATCAGCACTGGACTGTGAACTATAGGGTCAGCATTTCAAACCCACCAGCTGCTCCTTGGAAACCCTATACAGGACCACTATGAGTCGGAACCAACTTGCTGGCACTTAACAATAACAACATATGGAAGAAGCATGGTGGCTCTATAGCATAAGTACTGGACTGAGAACCACAGGTTTGGTGGTTTGAACTCACCCGTATGCTCTACAGGAGAAAGATAAAGCTGTCTGCTCCTGCAAAGATTTACAGCCCAAGAACTCCTTACAGAATTGCTATGAGTTGGAATCAACGCAGTGGTACAGCGACAGCAGATGGCCAGGTCTTTTTTCCTGCAGAGCTACCGGGTAAGTTTGAACTACCAACGTTTCCATTAGCAGCCAGCACTGAGCCATTGCCCCACCAGGTTCTTTAATGCTTGTATCTACCTATACAGGAGGCTTACATTTCATAAAAAGTAATGGAATTTTTCCATAAGCTTTTTAAAGTCCTCTTATATGTTTGTATATATGTATGGTGCTGTGAGCTAATGTACTGGACTGCAAAGTTAGTTTTGTACCGCAATATTGGCAGTTCAAGCTCACCAGCTACTCCTCAGAAACCCTCTACAGGGTTGCTATGTGTTAGAACAGACTTGATGGTACTTAACAACAATAACAATATATATCTATATTGTAATGGTTATGAGTTGGGCTGCCATCCTCAAGGTCAGCAGTTCGAAATTACCAGCCGTTATGCACGAGAAAGTTGAGGCTTTCTGATCCTGTAAAGATTTACAGCCTCCAAAACCCTGTACAGATTCACTATGAGTTAGAGCCGACTCCATGGCACATCACCACCACCAACCATATGCATTTATATAGTATACAGATGTGTGTGTGTGTGTGTATGTTGTTGTTGTTAAGTACCATGGAGTTGGTTTCGATTCATAGTGACTCTGTACAGGGCTTCTGAGGCTGTAAATCTTTATGGGAGCTGAAAGCCTTCTTTCTCCTGTGGAACAGCTGGTAGTTTCAAACTGCCGACTTTGGGGTTAGCAGCCCGATTCGTAACCACTACACTACCAAAGCTCCTTTTATATATATTGTATGTATATATATATATATATATATATATATATATGTATGTGGTGTTGGAGGAGAATACTTAAAGTGCCATGGACTGCCAAAAGAACCAATAGATCTGTTTTGGAAGAAGTGCAGCCAGAGTGCTCCTTAGAAGCCAAGATGGCTAAGCTTCATCTCTCATACTTTGGACATATTGTCTGGAGGGAACAGTAGCTGGAGAAGGATATCATGCTGGGTAAGGTGGAGGGTCAGAGAAAAAGAGGAAGACCCCCAACAAGATGGATTGGCCAGGTGGCATCATTGATGAACTCAAGTGTGGCAGCGGTGGTGAGGTTGGCCCAGGATCGAACATTGTTTCGTTCTGCTGTGCATGGGGTCGCTATGAGTTGGTTCCGACTCGATGGCACCTGACAACAACGTATATATATACTAAAAAAATTGTTTTTAAAAAGTACCTATGTTGTTGTTACATGCCATCCAGTTGGTTCTGGCCCATAGCAACCCAGTATAGGATTTCCAAGGAACAGCTGGTGATTTGAACCACCAACCTTTTCGATCCAGTTCATTATCCTGCAGCACCACACCAGGACTCCTATAATGTGCTCTTACCATTTGTAGAATAACTTCCTTTTTCAAAGTATGCATATTATAATAGTCAATTTGTTCCAAAACCTCTTGGGATAGATGGTGCAGGTATTTATTTATTATTGCCATTTGATCAAGGGCAGGAAAAGAAAAGCACAGTGCTGAGAATAATTGACTTCAGCTGCCCTTTGCTCTCAGTGTGCTGCTGTTCAGGTGACTCGGGCTTTCAGTTACCAAATTGCTTTCCTGGACCTGAGAATGCACATGAAATAAAGAGAAGTACTAAAAGAAGTACTTAGAGACATTTGAATACAGTGCATCAGAAGGAATTTCTGTAAAACAGTTAGATCACACTAGCTGGTGTTGCTCTTTGTTGTCATTGTTAGGTACCATTGAGTCAGTTCCGACGCATAGAGACCCTGTGTACAACAGAAAGAAACACTGCCTGGTCCTGTGCCATGCTCCGTGTACTTGCTGTGTTTGAGCCTGTTGTTGCAGCCATTGTGTTTGTCTATTTGAGGATCTTCCTCTTTTTCCCTGATCCTGTACTGTGCCCAGCCTAATGACCTCTCCAGGGACAGGGCCTTCCTAATAATGTGTCCAGCAGTCCATGGTATATTGAATATTCTTCACCAACACCATAATTTGAAGGCATCACTTCTTCTTTCAGGCTTCTTTATTAATTTTCCAGTGTCATATGTATATGAGATGATAGAAATACTGTGGCTTGGGTCATGGGCACCTTTGTCCTAAAGTGGCATCTTTGCTTTTAACACTTTAAAGAAATCTTTTGCACCAGGATTTGCTCATTGCCATATGTCTTTTGATTTATTGACTGCAGCTTCTATGGGCATTGACCGTGTATCCATCCAAGTAAATCCTTGACAACTTCAATCTTTAGTGCATCCATCATGATGTTGTGAGGATTTTTTTTTTCTTTATGTTGAGGTGTAAGCCATTTTAAAGGCTGTATTTTTTCATCTTCATCAGTAACTGCTTCAGATTCTTTATGCTTTCACCAAGGAAGGTTGTGTTATCTGCATATTGCAGGTTGTTAATGAGTCTTCCTCTAATCCTGAATCTCCTCTTCTTCATATAGTCCACTTTCTTGGATTATTTGCTCAGCATGCAGATTGAATAAGTATGGTGAAAGGTTACAAGATTGCTGGCACACAACCCTCCTGAAGGTTGCATAAATCACTAAAAATCACTAAGTCTGCACTTGCAAGGGAACCTTCCAGAGACAGTATTCTTTTTTTATTTTAATGTTTTATTGTGAATTATATGATAGTGTACATGGGAGAATATTAGCTTTACATTCACCTATCATATATCGGTATATCATTTCATTGCCATGATTATAATCCCCTCCGTGCATCATCAACTAACCAAAGGGTATACCCTGCAAGCCTTCCCCCTGGTCGTCAGCACACAGCCCCTCTCCTTCTCTGGGTCTAGAGTTCCTAGTCGTTCCCTCTTTCCATGTCATCATCTCTGCCTCCATCTCTGGCATCACTGTTTCTCTGGGTAGGGTCCTGTACTCTGCTCTTCTCCCTTGATGGTCCCAAGGACCTCCTCTCCTGGATTGCAAAGTCAATCACTCCCCTCCTTTTGCTACAAAATGTTTACCTTTACATTTCCAACCCTCACAGTCAGTCCTGATAACAATTATTCACTGTTGTACCATATGAGTGCTATCTCCATCTCCTTTCATCAGCCCTGCCCAGACAGATTGGATACTACTCAGTGGAGAGTCTACCTTCCTCCGTGCCCTCTGGATCTAGGCTCCCTCTTGAAAGCTTGTAAGCCAGTCACTTCTTGCCTTTGTAACCCCCCACTTTGGGTAGCCAATGTCCAAGTTGCCCATCCCTGTGTCTACCCTGTGTATCAAGGGGGTGGGAATGATTCTTGCTGTGAAGATTTGTTCCCTCTTTTGAGCTACTGCATCCATAGGTGTAGGTCAAGTTCATCAAATTGTATCAGATTATTCTTTGTTTTCCTCTGTCTTCTCCTAGTTGAGCTCTGATCATCCAGTCATTGAAGCCAGGTCAAGTGGATATTATCTGCAAGTGTGGGTGTTCTTGTGTATATGCCTTCACTTCTTATCAGCTGGATGCTTCACTCTCCACTCCAGTCCTCTGTGGTTATGTCACTGACTCTGGGCTCAGGAATCCCCATGTCTTGCCACACTGCTGGCCAACCAGATCTCCACCTGGGTTCACAGGAGTGTGTTGAACGTAGTAGGGCTTAGCTTGCTGCTTCATTGCTGTTTTTCCCTCACTTCCCCTTATCGGTCTGCTCATGTATTCCCCTGAGTCTTAGTCCAGTGATGGTATTCTTAGCCTGAGGGCTAGGAGTAGAGTAATAATTTTTGCTACCGGTCTTAATGGATCTTAAAGCTCACCTTAAGGGTTTGTTGTTGTTAAGTACCATCGAGTCGGTTCTGACCCATAGTGACCCATATAGGGTTTCTGAGGAGTGGCTGGTGAGTTTGAACTGCCGACCTTGTGGTTCAAGTTGTCTTTGCAGTCCAGTGCACTAACCCACAGCACCATACCAGGATTCCACCTTAAAGGGTAGGTTTCCTTTTAAGTCCTACCAGGAAGAAGGATGAGGCTTTCTGCTCCTGTAAATATTTGCAGCCTTGGAAACCCTATACAGGGTCAGAACTGACTCCATGGCACATCATCATTATCACCACCAGGGTGACCCTAGAGCCTCAGGCCCAGCTCCTGAGGACTACTTTTCCCAGCTATCCCCACTAACTTGTGCCTGGACAAGCAGGCCCTGTCTTGCTCATGACCTGCCCACGTGCCTGTTAACCCAATTCCTTGATCTGATGTATTCTGGGGTGGCCTGAGTGGTCCTGCCCAGCATTAGCCTGTTCATGAGAAAAAGGCCACCTCCACTTACTCCTGCAACTCAGCTCTCTGCTGCCCCCACGTGCTTAGAATCTAGATGGGCAGCAGCTGCCTGGGTATCCCATCTGTTTTGCTCACTAGGAACCCAGTTCTTATAGGAAGACTCTGGGGAGTACCTTTCCTCTATTTTGCCTGGCCTGAAAGAATTCTGATGTGTGAAGAAGATAAAACCGCCACTGCTTAGATAAGCCATTTCCATTACCCCTGTGAATAACTCTCTTAAGGAGTCCTGATAGCATAGTAGATTATAAGCTGGTTGCTAACTGCAAGGTCAATAGTTCGAATCTGCTAGTCACTCTGCTAGAGAAAGAGGTCTTCTGCTACAACAAAGATTTACAGCCTCAGAAACCCTCTATAGGGTCACTATGAGTTGACATTGACTGGATGGCATACAACCACCACCACCATCACCATAGCTCTCCTGATGTCTGATTTCCACATAGATGGGTTTTGCTACCTCCCTGAAACTTTCCCATATAACTTATAGATCTTTCTTTGAGGTCTTTTGGCAATTACTTTCCAAATAAGCACTTTCTAATATGTTGACTGAGGAGCAAGATGAGGTTTTCTGCTCCTTCAAAACTGTGTTGTTGTTGTTAGGTGCCGTCTAGTTGGCTCCAGCTCCTAACAGCCTTATGCACATCAGAACGAAACACTGCCTGGTCCTGTGCCAATCTCACAATTGTTGCTATGCTTGAACCCATTGCTGCTGCCACTCTGCCTTGGAAACCCTATACAGGGTCTCTGGGAGTTGGAACTGACACGATGGGACTTAACAACAACAACAACATGTTTACTATGTTTGCCAATTTTCCTTCTGTGTATTGGAGTCCTCTAAAGAGGGGCACATGAGGACAGGGCCCAGAACCTGTAAGACCTTCTTGCTTTCTCATTGGGCAGTTCCTGGGACAACACTCAGGGAGCTTTCCTTCAGCCTGGAAGGAAGCTGCTGTTCAAGTGTTCTTCACTAGGCCTCAGAATCATCTCAGGGAGAATGGCGGGTAGAGCCTTTTGAAAACACAATCCTAAGCCCCACTCCTAGTAGTTGTTTCAGGAAATGAGGGTGGCATGCAAGATTCTGTTTCTGAAGCTCTCCAGCTGATTTTGATGTTTCCCCTGCAAAGGATGACTGGTCCACACAAGGTGCACACAGATCCACACAGGCGTTCTCATTCTTCACTCAGCTTATTTCTGCGACCCACCATGGACTAGGCAGGGAGCCCCAGTAGAGAACAAAGGAAAACTTGCCTTGTGGAGCTCACACATACAGGCATACAATACATGCACACGCACTGAACTACCCATGCCACCGTAGTAGTGCTAATTAGTTTGAGCTATTGTGGTTGGTTGTTCTAGATGAGGCCCTATGTTCTCTTCCCTGCAGATTCTCAGCACTCTGGTTAAAGGAACACATAGACCAGTGACCTGCAAGATCCGCATTCTGCCATCGGTAAGGACAGTGTGCTACATTTGAAGGCACATTCTCTCTGTGATGTTGAGTTTTGGGGTATGCCTGATTCTTGAGGAGTGGAAGTAGGTTTGGAGGAGAGGGTGGAGCCAAGCCCACTTTAGGAGCTGGCAGCTGCTCCTTCTGGTGCTTCGTTAACCACCCAGGGTGGTCCTTTTCCTCAGCTGGAGGATACCCTAAGCCTCGTGAAGCGGATCGAGAGGACTGGCATTGCTGCCATCGCAGTTCATGGGAGGTGAGTGAGTGGTCGCCTTTCTAGTGACTGACTTTCTGGGTAAATGATAATGTGTCTCTTTAACAGGTGAAGAACAAACTTACTTTCCCCATATTCAACCAACTCAGCCTAACTCGTTGAAATTCTGTAAGGCATGAATCCTATCAAATCATCTCTCTGAGCTTGCATTTATTTGCTTTTGCTTCATTCATTGAGCACTTATTGGGTGTAGATACTGTGCTGAGCTTTAGAAGTACAGAGCGAACAGAAGAAATGCCTCTATGCTTAGGTTGTGTAAGTGGTGGAGACTGAGTGTTTTGCTCAAAGTTGTATCGTGCTGCCAAGACGTAGTGGAACTAGAACTATGACTCTGAATCTCATTTACTCTCTAAATTTTATTTATTTTGTTGGTGTGAAGAAAACACACAGCAAAACATACCAATCCAACAGTTTGTGCATGTACCATTTAGTGACATTGATTACGTTCTTTGAGTTGTACAGCCATTCTTACTGTCCTTTTCTGAGTCATTCTTCCCTCATTACTATAAACTAATGGTTCCCTAAGGTTCTTATCTAATCTTTGATGCTGTAGAGAGAGTTCTTTAAAAAAAAAAAAATGCTCAAGACAGACTTCTTTTTACTAATTAAAATAAACTATGGATTAGTTTTAAGATTATTTCAGAAGATATTTTTGGTTTAAGGTTTAAAGATGATCTTGGGGCAATAGATGATCTTGGGTCCATCCATGCTTCATGGCTCGAAGTCTAAAGTCCTTGATAATTTGAAATTTTGTTCTGCATTTCCCCCTTTTGTGAATCTCATTTACTTTTCACAACATTGAGCACTGACTTCTCAATGGCCCCAGGCATTCTGCTGTTCTTGTAAAGGCACTGTCCCTTTTGTCTGCCCTTGTTGGACTGCCAGCTGTCACAACACTGCACAGTTTTTTTCTCTGTAGGTAATGTGCTCTCTGCTGAGAGCTGAGGTGTGGCTGAAGACTACCCCTGGTGTCCAAGTCAGATTCCCTCCCTGTGTCTAGGACATCTCTCTGTGAAGAAGAATATCAAGTCACCAGGCTCTAGCCAGAGTGACCTCTTTTCTCTAAGTGATGTTCCTTTTGGCCTCAAGGGTCTTGTGGGGCCAGTCCAGGTTGCTGTGTCTCTTATAGCCAGAACCTAGAACCTCAATATGGAAAACAGGGAAAAGCAGAGCTTTTCTGATCAAAGCCGGGAATGGGAGGTGAAGGCCACGTGCACGTGCTCCTCCCTCCCAAGGCAGCAGGCTTTGGGCTCAGATTGCCTGGATCATACCTCTGCTGCTTGTTAGCTGTGTGTCTTTGGGCAAAATACATTAGCTTTTCTGAGATCCATATTCCTTATCCGGAAATTAGATTATTTTTGCCTTACAGAGCTATCATGGAGCTATGAGATTGTGAATGGAAGGCAATGGCACAGTGTCTGACACACAGGTTTAGGTTGATAAATGAAACTAGTACTTTTAGTAGCAATTGGAAACACTAAGAAGAAAGATTTGGGTGGGGGGTGGGCTATAGCTAAATAAGCTGGGAGTATTGGGAACAAGAGAGGCAGAGTGGACCGAGAGGGCCTTGACTCCTGTGTTGAGGAACATAGTCAAGGAGAAAAGCCTAGAAAAGAGCTGGGCAAGGGTTTTCTGGTGACTCTCTCTCCGGCTTGTTCGTGCTCAGGTCATGGTTTATTTCAGTGTTCCTAAGGCTTGCTGGTTCATACACAAGAACTTGTAGCTGACCTTGAAAGGAAGGATCCTGGGATTTGTGGTCCTGCCTCCCTGTGGTTTGTCGTGGCACCCATGGCCTCTTCTGGCTGCTTTGGGCACAGGGTCTACCCTGCACCAGGTGCCTTTCCCCTGGATCAGCTGTGCAACTTGGCCCCAGCATAGGCAGCTGTGTGGGAGGAGCCAGTCTGAATGGTGGCAGCTGTTTCGAGTCTCTTGGGAAGAGCAGGACCAGGACAGTAGGGGCAGCCTTTTACTGGTCCTGTCCCTCATCTGACAGTCAAGGGAGAACCAGGGCAAGGTGGTGAGACCTTGACATCCAACCACACATATGGGTCCCCTGCATCCATGCTGCTCCTGCCCTTATTGCAGTGATCTTGTCTGGAGCTGGCAGAGACCCTTGATGGCCACCTGGCCTTCCCCAGGTTCAATAAAGAGAACAGCAGACTTTGGCCAGAGTAACCCTGTGTGAGATGGCACTCAGTCCTGAACCCTGTCTCTATTTCCTAGGAAACGGGAGGAGCGACCCCAGCACCCTGTCTGCTGTGAAACCATCAAAGCTATTGCTGAAACCCTCTCCATTCCTGTCATAGCCAAGTAAACCTCCCTTCTTTATCATTTACCTTTTTATGCCTGACTCATTCAGAAAGGATTTGAACAGGTTTACAAAACAGGTTTACAAAGGTGTTGGAAGAGGTATAGCCAGAGTGTTCCTTAGAAGCCAGGATGGTGAAACTTGTCTTTTATCCTTTGGACATATTATCAGAAGGGAAGAATAGTCCTTGGAGGACATCATGTTTGTTAAAGTGGAGAGTCAGTGAAAGAGAGGAAGACCCCTAAGGAGTTGGATTGATACAGTTGCAGCAGCAGTGGGCTGAAATATAACAATAATTGTGAGGCTGGTTCAGGTAGTGTTTCTTGCTGTTGTGCATAGTGTTGCTGAGTCAGAACCAACTTGATGGTATGGTGCCTAACAACAACAGCAAAAATGAAATGGTGTAAAAAATGACCTTGAGGGAAAGAATTAAAAGGTGAGACAAAAAGTGAAGTTGAGAACTAGTGTTTCCTGGCTCCTACTAACAACTGCTCTGAAAGGAATCACATTAGAAGGTACTGGATAAAGTGGGAGAAAAATGTGGAACAAAAGTCTGAACTATGAAAGAGACTAGGCTTACTGGTAAACCTCCGAGATTATGGCCCTTAGTCACCCTTTATGTCTGAAATTGAACTTGCCTTTGTGGCTCAGTTTTCAGCCAAACAATAGACAGACCTATAAAGAGAACAGTTGTTACCCTTATAGATTCAGAAAGGATTTGAAGAGGTTTACAAAACAGGTTTACAAAGGTGTTGGAAGAGGTATAGCCAGAGTGTTCCTTAGAAGCCAGGATGGTGAAACTTTGTCTTTTATCCTTTAGAATAATCAACCATTTGAGATCAAAAGTTTACCTAAGTACAAAGTTCAGAAGGATTCGGAAAGAAGGAATTCAGAAAAAAGGATTCAGAAAGAATGGAAATAGGAAATATAGGGAGGGTGTGGTATAAGTGATATTGTTGTTGTTAAATGTTGTTGAGTCAATTCTGACTCATAGTGATTCTGTATAAGGTTTCTGAGGAGCAGTTGGTGGGTTTGAACTGCTGACCTTAAGGGTTTGCAATGCAGTGTTGATCCTACAGCGCCACACCAGGAGTCCATTGTAATAAATGAGATGAAACAAAATGTGTATGAATTGCTGAATGGAAAACTGATGATCTGTTTTGTAAACCTTCACCCAATTCACAATTAAAATGTTAAAAAGAAAAAAGTGAAGTTGAGAATGAAGCTGCAGAGTGCCTCTCCTATAAGTCAGTTCCATCGGCCTCTGTGTGTGCAGGTGAAGATGGGTCCAGGGCATTGTAATGGATGGCTTGAGGGTGGAAGTGTTCAGGGACAGGGAGGAGCAAAAGGCAGCCACCAAAGCAGGCCCAGTGGAGAAGGTAATATCATGCCTAGAGGTAGGTGTGCTGAGTGTAGGGAGCCATGTGATGAGTCCCAAGCCACAGCACATAGGAGGCAGAAGGCAGATTACACTCAGAAGGCAAGACGAGCATTCTGTGCAGCTACAGGATCCAGAAGCTTGACTAGCAGATGTGAGGGACCAGTGACCAGCCCAAAGGCTGAATAGTAGTAAGACAGCTTCCAGCTGCCGCTGGGGAGTTAGCCTGTGCCAAACAGATAGAAGTCCTGCTTTGCATCTTAGGACAACACAGAGGCTGATGGGGTTTTGGGACAGCGCAACTCCAAAGTCCTGACAAGAGGCCTGCCTGACTGGTATGGGAAGGGGTCTGGTCTTCCCCAGAAATTTGGAGAAGGTAGGACTACTCAAACTTCTGGGCCCTGTTGTTGCTACTGTCTCTTAAGGACTACCCTTCATGGCTATTTCTGACCTGTGGCTGACACCTGGCTCCTGATATAATAAATGAGGACAGGAAAATTTCTGAGGAGGCCTTGGAGCCGAAAGGTGGAAAAAGGGAAATTGCAACCAAACTGGGCTCTTCCTCTAATGATTAGTGTGTCTGTTTCCCTCTCCAGGGTTTAAATAGATCCCTGAGTGAGCATAGGTGGCTACACAGCCTAGGGGCTTCTGATGGTCCCAATACTCAGTTATAGATCCATGTCTTCAGATAGGGGTTACCTTTAGCCAGCTATTGTTAGGTGAAATTGAGACAGCTCTTAGTCATAGTGACTTCTTGTAGAGCAGAATAAAAAGTTGCCCAGTCCTGTACTATTCTCCTAATCATTGCTACGTTTAAGTCCATTGATGAAGTCAGTCCCTTGGTCAGTGCATCTTGTTATGGGTCTGCCTCTTTTTAGTTCACCTTCTAGTTTAGCTACAATGTGGAAGAAGGAAAATCAAGTTTCTGAAATATCTGTCTACTAAGTGCCATGCATAATCCACGCTACTGTACATATATTATCTCTCTTGGAGCTCCTAACTACATAGTAATATTATAGTCCCCACTTTGCCAAAGCTTTGAGAGCTGAAGGGGCTAGCTCAAAGCCACACAGCTAACGTGTGACCAATCTGAGAGTGACTCTTTTATGAAAGCACTGATACCATGATGGAAATATTCCTAATACCCTTGTTGGTTTTCAGTGGCGGCTCTCACGACCACATCCAACGGTATTTGGACATAGAGGACTTTCGACAAACCACGGCTGCATCTTCAGTGATGGTGGCCAGAGCAGCTATGTGGAACCCGTCTGTCTTCCTCAAGGAAGGTCTGCGGCCCCTGGAGGAGGTCATGCAGAAGTACATCAGATACGTATGTCTCTACACTTTTCTTACTGCCTGCCTCATTCCTGCAGAAAGCACTTTCTGTGAGCACCTAGCCCCCAGCAGGCTTTGTTGTTTTTGTCTCTTTGTCATTCTTGTAGTAGAGCACTGTATCTCTCCAGCAGCAATATGAAGAGAGGATGCTGGGTACATGTGTCCTTACCATCATTTCCTAAAACTTCTGGAGGTGGTGGTAGTGGTGGTGTGAAGTGCCATGGAGTCGGTTCCGACTCATATCAACCCTGTATAGGGTTTTCATGGAGCAGCTGGTGCTTACCCTAGAGTGCCAGTGGAGGTCATAGAAAATGATCTTCTAGACCCAGGATTCTGATGGAGCCCCAAGCATATGATGTCTTTTTCTCTCTCCACACACAAACTCCACACGCACATGCACATTGAAGTGGGTCTGTCTAACTGAAGACACCTAGGCCCAGGGGGTTAGTACACGACTAGGAGGAGCATTGATGTTGAGGACAGATTGTTTCCATAACGATTCCTCACCTGGTTATCTGTCAAAATCACTTCTAAAAGTTGCTCATTCCCAGGATTCTTTAGTCTGTGAGCATCTCTTTAGGGAATATCCAAACCCACTGCCATGGAGTCTGTTACGACTCATAGAGACTCCATAGGGCAGAGTAGAATTGCTCCATAGGGTGTCTAAGACTGTAAATCTTTACAGGAGCAGAAAGCTTTATTTTTTTCTCATGGAATAACTGGTGGGTTTTATCTCTCAACCTTATGGTTAGCAGCCCAGTGCTTAACCCACTGTGCTACCAGTACTCCTTTGTTAGGGCATAGCTTTTTCTAAATCAGTTTCTCCTCATTGGAAGCTTGAAGGGGCATCTCCTTACAAAATCATTTTTTGATGAGGTCTCCTGCCTTGTGTCTTTGACACTACTCTGGAATTGTGTGGGACTCTGTAATCTAATCAGTGTACCTAGAGGTAGAAATTATGAGTGGTCCTCAAGTCCCTCATGAGGGTTGAGGGTGTGGCCATAGCCCTGAGCGGGTTTACACCCAATCTTCAGTCACACAAGCCCTCTGAAACCCATGGTTGTGGGTGGATAGTGGCTGCCAGGGTGTGTGGGTGTGGCCATGACGCTGCAATCTGGGCCTGGTTGGGAGCCCTGAGGCCCGTGTCCAGGACTGGGCAGCCTCTGTCCTGGTGCCTCTCCTACTCCAGCTGCCTCATCCTCTTGGTTCTGTGTGTTCTGTTGTGCAAGTTGATGCTTGCCAGGCTCTCCATGGCCTGCGTTAGCCTGATGCAGGGGTGAGCAAGCATCACCTGCCTTGGTCCAAGGCAGTAGTCTAGCTCCTCTGGATGCTTGGCAAGTCAGAGGCAGAGCAGACATGTTCAGTAGTGCTGAGCTTGCTCACTGGGTGAAAGGTGATGTTATCGTTTCTGCTCAGCCCATCCCTTGGCAGCTCCTCAAGAGGGTGCGTTGTCCCTGAGAAAGGGAGTGGCTTTCAAGCATAGGCAGGGCTGCTTGCTTCTGGTCCAGCCAGGTGCCTTCTGTTCCAAACAAGCTGAATCAAGGCTTTGCTGCTGGCTGGGGTTTACCCACATATTCCTGTGTTATCCCAGGCACTAAGGGCATAGGCCCAGGAAGAGAAAGAACAGCATGGGAGGGTCCTACAAGGCTGGACAACCTTCACTCACTGCTATAACACTGGGAGATGTGTTCATTTCCCTTCTTTCCTGCCTTGCCCCCAGCCAGCTAGGCTTCTGTGGGACAGTAACGTTGCCTCCATTTCCCAGTCCGTGGAGTAAGGTAACAGCTGCATCTCACTCTACATAGATAAGTGAAGTGACAAGTGACATGTACAGACATGTTTGGTAAATGGTGCTGTGCTTTACCCATGTAAGAGGAAATTGAAAAGAGAATACTTTTAAGATGTGGGAAGGGAAGGTCCCCACTCTGATGATAAGAAGTAGGAAGATCTCCCCACTGTCTTGGGACTGGAGCTGCCAAGTCAAAGTTTGGCTTGTTTCTTCCCAGGCTGGAAGATGCTTGGCAGCAGTTTCTCAGTGGTAGTCTGTGGTGGCTGAGGGACTTTGAACCTCATCCAGGCTGTCCAGTAGAGAGTGCTTCTGACTGTAGGCCTCAGTAAGGCCCTTGAGTTTGTACCACTCCCTGAGGAGCAGATGACAGGGCAAGAGATAACTCTTACAGAGTCAACACCACCTTGGCTGCTGGCCCACCTGTGATGTCTACATGGAGACCCTTTCTCTGCTGTCAGAGCATGTCCTCAGAGTCTCCAGGTCAGCCATTGGCTCATGCCAGTTTTCCTCTTAGGCAGTGCAGTATGACAACCACTACACCAACACCAAGTACTGCTTGTGCCAGATGCTTCGAGAACAGCTGGAATCGCCCCAGGGAAGGTTGCTCCATGCTGCCCAGTCTTCTCAGGAAATTTGGTGAGAGGGGCCATGGGCTGCTCATCTCTTCTGCAGATGTTGCCAAGCTTGTTCTTGAACCCTAAGTTGACTCTACCAGGGGGCCAGGGACCCAGCCTTTGGAGATGGTTGTCAGGGGTGGGGTAGGGTGGACAGCATGTCCTCATGGAAGGGGCGGTTTGGAACTTTCTGTCACTGGACTGTTCTCAGCAGCTGTGTTTTGGGAACCAGGGCACTAGTAGAATGGAGGACTGTGAGGGCTGGGCTTGGGAATTCCTAGGGAGGAAGGGCTTTCCCTAAAATGGATTTGTTACAAGCCAGGCCACCAAGACCCAATGGTCAGGAAAATTGGGTTGTAGAATGTCACCTGTGCCCACAGCCCACCAGGCTGCAATCTGAGAGGCCATCCCTTGGTCATCTAGACCTGGTGTAACTCTCCAACTCAGATGGTTAATGTTTGAAGACCTTTCCAACCTGGCCTAGTACTGCTCATACAGTTTCACTGTCTACCTATCTGCTTCCCTGTATCCAGGTCTACTGCCTTAGGTAGATTTAGCTGTCTATAGTCTAACTTCTTCTTTTCCTTAGGTAGATTTAGCTGTCTATAGCCTAACTTCTCCAAAGAAGCCTTTCCAAACACTCTTGCCCCAAGGGATCTATCTTCTTGAAATTTTTCCAGCCCTCAAGATGCTTCAGAAGAAAAAACGTCTCACCAGAACTTACCTTTCCATACTAGGCTTGTGGTGTTGGTTCTGTCTCTACCCTACATACCTTATGTAGCTTGACCAGGTGTCTTGTGAGCTTAGGAGAAAGTGTGTAACTCTGTAGCTCTGGGTTGCACCTCAGAGGGCACCCAATGTAGACTAGGCCCATGTAACTGTTTGGGTACAAGACAGGAGGTGAGGACCCACTTAGTGGTCAGGCCTGTGTCGCTCATTCTCTCTTATGATGAGGCTTTGCATACTCCAGGTGCTTGATTAGCTAAGATCAATTCAATCACTGCTGGCTGAAGAAACTCACCTATGTGTCCCTCCTCAGGAAGGAGGCTAGAGTCAGAAGGTGACATTTAGAACCTTTTTCTCCCAGCCCAGCTAGCCCATCCTTACATGCACTCTCCATCTTCCAGTTCAGGCTGATTCTATATGTGGGTAGGAGGCATCATAGGTGTCCAGGGCTCGCTTTGGTATATGCGTGGGGAGAAGTTTCTTAGTGGTGGAATCCTGGGCTCCTCTAGTAACTTGGAGGCTGGCTACACTAAGAAACTTGTCCCACTCTACTTCTCCCTCTACAGTGAGGCCTTTGGCCTTAGTACCTTCTATGAGGAGACCACGCGGGAGCTGGATGTTCGGCGGGCGGAGCTCTTGGCCCGAACCCCACAGGAAGCCAGGGAACAAGTTGAAGATGACTGCGGTGTCATTAAGATGGCTGTCAAGTTTGACCGGTGGGTCTCCAGCTTGACCTTGATCTAGGCCAAGCAAGCTGGCTGCTGTACATGGTCAGTGCCAAGCTTAGAGACTAGAAGTTTCCTTGATTTAGATACTTGTTCTCAATTTTCACCATCCCAAAGAAAGCATTTTAGGATGGAGGACGTTTTCTGTAAGCCTAGTCAGCACTGTTAGGGTTGTGTGTGTTGTTGTCCCAAGGGTAACTGAATTCTGCTGGTTCCCAGACCCTGAGAAATTAGCTGCTCACATGGAGCTCCCCAACAGCAGCAGAAACCTGTCCCTCATGTGGCTCTGAAGCCCCTGCCCACACCCTGTCCCGTACCAGCTATGTGTGCCCTCTCTAGGCAGAAGTAGTGTTAGACTGATTGTTGCCTGGGATTGTGAGTGAGCTTTGAATGGTGTCCCCCTTGTTGCCCTTGACATCTGGGATCTGAGCCTTTCTTCAGTCCCTAGGCCCAGACCAGGAGCCAGCTTGGGTGTGGAGGTCCCTGAGACAGCTGTTGAGCTATCGGAGAACTCCAGGTGGGAAGTTGGAGTAAGACTTCTCCCACCGTGTCACTTTGCTGACTGACTCTGGAACCCGAGTCTGCTGGGTCCAAGGCAGCAGCTGGATTGTCCTGACACTTGACAGATGGAGTCAGGGTGGGCAGTGAACCAGATCCCCAAGGCTGTTATCTTGCCATCTGAGTTTGCCACTTCTACCCACTGCCTCCTGATTTTGTCTGACGAGGCAGGTTGGGCCTGCCTTCCTGACTGTTGGAGGCTGTTTTTAGGTCATGGTCCAGAGTGCTTGGAGTTCACTTCCCCCTACCTCCCCTAACTTCCCAAACATCCAGGTCTACTTTTAAGTAGAACCGAGGTCCAAAGCCACTGGTAGGGCAGAGATGGGAGCCTGAAGGCAGCAGGGTGATGTCTGAGGTGCTCCAGTTCCTGCAGCTTCTATTGGGAACTGAGTAGGACCCCTGCTCAGGGAGGGAGTGGTGGTGGTGGGTGGGCCTTGACTCTTTAACCACCTTCCCAGGAGAGCATACCCACCCCAGATCACCCCCAAGATGTGCCTGCTGGAGTGGTGCCGGAGGGAGAAGTTGGCACAGCCTGTGTATGAGACGGTGAGTTACCTGTGCCATCACTCTCAGCATAGCCCCAGCTTCTACCCTGAGCTCTAGATTGCTTGCCTGGAGACTGGCCTTGCCTTCTGTGGGCATGCTGCAACTGCTAGTGGTAGTCCCTCTTCTCTACCAGTGAGCTTGTTGTCCGATTCACGCCACTCTCAGAAAACTGAACTAGGGGCCTAAGTAAGGGGCTTCTGGGCATTGCCAAGGCAGGGGAGAGACTTCTTTGCAAAAGGCTAATTGGTTTAGGAAAGAAACTCAGACCTAAAAGTTAGGTAGTCATGCCTTTGGATCAGGCCTCAGCCAGTGGGGCACAGATTTGGGGCCCCTGGAGTGGATCCCTTAAGGCCATCTTGTTTCACTGCTGTTGGTCCCTGTAGCCATGCCTTGTTGACATTGCTCTGTCTTGTCTGGACTGGCTTCCTGGTCTCCAGCTCTGTGTCCCTCTCTGTTGAGTTACTTTTCCAAAACATATGACCTCTTGCCCTCTTTGTCAGCTCCCCATTGCCTTTAGATCAAGCCCTAGCACCTCAACATATAGCATAAGACTCCTCCACGTGCCTTTCTGCCTCAGTTCTGACCCCTTCAGCCCTCTGCTCCAGCCTCATCACCTGGTCCCTGTGCCAGGTGTGCCTTCTCTGCTCCTGTCCTTGTCCCCCTGACCTGTTTGTTATTTGGTGAACGCTTTATGTTTGGGGGCCTGGTCCATCCAAATGTCAGCAAAGGAGGCTCCATAGTCACATTCAGCCAAGGACTCGATGGCCCTCTACTTGGCCCATGACAGAAATGCAGACACTCTATGAAGTCATTGTCTATTTGTGTGCTTTTCTTTCCTGAAGATGCACCAGGCACTTCTCTGAGGAGAAGCATGTGGTATGGATAGCTTGGCTCTTCACTTGCCTTGGGTTGAAAGTCCTTCCCTTGAACTGCCTACAATGTGACCCTGGCCATAGGCCTCCAGGGCTCTGTCTCCTTGTCTCTTTGCAGCCATCTGTTTCCTTTGCTCTCCTTGCACCAGGTTCAACGGCCCCTAGATCGTCTGTTCTGCTCTGTTGTTACAGTTGCTGAGCAAAAGTACCAGTCCACCTTGTGGTAAGCTCCCTCATCAGTGAGCATGAAGTTCAGGGCAGTGGCCCTAGAAGGTTGGGGGCTGGGAAGCCTGGGCAGTGGCGTCCTTGGGTGATGACCCCTTCCTCCCTTTTGGCAGCATCTCTGCCAAGTGTGGGTAGAATCAGGTCTCCCAGCCTCAGCTCACCTGCTTATTGCTGCATACCTCCTCTGCTCAGGGACAAGTCCAAGAAACTGGCAGAGCAGGCTGCGGCTATTGTCTGTCTGCGAAACCGGGGCCTTCCTGAGGGTCGGCTCAATGAGGAGAGCCCCACCCTGCACAAGCGCAAGCGGGAGGCTCCTGACCAAGACTCTGGGGACTCCAGAGCTCAGAAGCCAGCCTTGTCTGGGGAGTTGTTCAAGAAGACCCTTGTGGCCTTGGAAAGTGGAGAAGATAGTCTGCTGGAAGGCAGGTGACCACTGTCCCTGCCCTGGTCACCTCTTCTGTGGGCCTTACCCTTGGATGGCTGTAGGCACTGGAACATGAACAGACACCACTGGGCAATTTGCTGGCCCTGCCTGGCAGGAGTTAGAGGTCCTGACCTGGGCTGTCACCTGGGGCAACAGCCCAGGAGTAGATGACATGTCTCTTGGTAAGCCTGAATGATAGGACCAACCTCTGAGCAACTTCAGGATTTTCTCTGAAAACAAGAGCTTTTCAGGCAGCACCTTGACATTAGTCCAGTGCAATAAAGACACCCCACCCCCACTCACGGACTGACTGCTGCATCTTTGGGCCACTTAGCACACAGACTTGTGCCCTGGCATAATTATTTTCTTCCCTGCTCTCTGTTTCCTGGAACATATCCCCTACTCATCCTTATGGATCTGAATCGTGTGGGTGGTATATCACCTTTTAGGCTCATGACTTGGGCTAAGCCAGGAAGGTCCAAGAAGCCCATTCTACTGATGGTGAAGCTGAGGCCAAATGAAAAAACCAGTCCCACAGCTATCAAGTAGATTCTGACTCACAGCGATCCTATAGCAGAGTAGAACTGCTCCTTAGGGTTTCTGAGACTGTAAATCTTTATGGAAGAAGACTGCTTCATATTTGTCCTGAAGAACAGTAGGTGGGTTTGAACCACTGGCCTTTCAGTTAGCAGCCCAGTACTTAGCCCACTGTACCACCAGGACTCCTTCAACCTGAGGTTGTTGTTACGTGCCGTCAAGCCAGTTCCGACCCATAGTGACCCTGTATAGGGGTTTCCAAGGAGCAGCTGGTGAGCTTGAACTACCGACCTTGCAGTTCAGACAGCTTTGCAGTCTGGCGCATTAACCCACAGCACCACACCAGGACTCCTCAACCTGAGGTACTAGATATGAATTGACTTTCCTGTTGAGAGGTGGTATGGAATCTGGGGGAAATACTAGGGTATTTAAGACCCCAGAAAGGGGATGACATTCCCCAGACTCCTCCAAGTTTGAAAGCTCAGACCTGATGGGGTGCCAGCTCTGGGCACAGGACACTGGTGGCTGCTGCTGACAGCAGTTTGGGGCTCTTGCAATTTGCCTGCCCCAACTACCTTCCCCCACCACTCCCCCACCATCCTGCTTGGGCCGGAAGGAAGTGGCAGATTTTGTTTAATTTCCTCCTGGCAGTGAGAAGCAAACAACGGCTACCACATCTCCTGGGGCCTCCCCCGCTTATTGGGAGGGGCACTGTGACCAAAGGTTCCTGCCCTGAGCTCCCCTCTTCCTCTGCTGTAAACACACTGCTTCTGCTTCTCTTCTTTGCCAGGGTCTCTGGGAGAGGGGGCGATTTCTCTCCCAGACCTGCTGCCCTATTCTTGTCCCATCCCTGTTCCCGTCATCACCCCTGGGCTAGCTCATTGCTTTTGGCCAGCTGCCAGTGGCCCTGCCGGCCTCTGAGTCAAGAGTTGGGCGGGTAAAGTCTCTGTCTAGTCCTGGTGCTGTTCTTCCCTGCCACCCACACTTAACTCTTCTTTGTGCAGACAAGGACACAGCACTGCCATCTGCCTGCCAGGGGCTCATCACTGTGACCTTGGACAAGTCACATCTAGTTCTGAGCTCAAGGGTGTTCCTTTGAGACTGGGATCAGAGGCTGGTTTGGCTGACTTGTGATAGATGCTGAGGCCACTCTACTGGAGAAGAGGCCCTACTTAGTAAGAGACTGAGGCCTGGTCCAGCCCCAGCCACCAAACTTTAGCCACCATTTCTTTCTGACTTTTCTCACTAAAAACTCTCAAAATGTTCCCAGTGGGTCCCCAAGTAGCCTGGACCAACAGAACTGTGCCAGGGACCCTGTGCAGGGCCAGCACTGAATCCCAAGATTCCACTCTTCCTTGATAGGGCTGAACTCTGTTCTCAAACCTCCCACCAGTGTGGTTTCTCTGAAGTCCCTTCTAATGGTATGGTCAGGGTCATGTCTGGGCTATGGGGAAGGCAAAGCAGGGACAACAGGTCTCATCTAAGACAGAGGCTGAGGGTTAGGGGTTCAGAGGGCCCAGGTTCAGCCACAGGGGAGTCATGTGGAGAGGGGCTAGTATGTGTGTTCTGTGCTGGAGGATATCTGGTAGAGACTCTGGTGGAATATGCTATGCCTTAATAAGTCTCACTTTAGCACCACTTGGGTAGGGGTACTTCCTCCGTGATACTTGCACTGGTCTCAGAGTGGCCTACCCAAAGGCTAGCACCTGCTGAGAGGGTACAGTCAGGCCTGAAAACTCCATCCATTCCTCTCACCATGCCCAAACTCCTCTCTGGGCTAGTAGTCACAACACTTCTCCATCCATCGCAGTCACCTTAATTGAGAGTTTCCACTAGTTCAGTTTTGGGACAAGTGGTTTTGGTGTGGGCATGAGGAGAGAGGAGCAAGGATGGAAGGTCCTCTGAAGGCCACAGTAAAAAGACTGGATTTTGTGCACATTGGGGAGACGTTGCACTTTTAGACCCTTCTAGGCCTCTTGCTCAAGGAGCTCTGGTAGCATAGTGGTTACGAATCGGGCTGCAAACTGCAAGGTCAGCAGTTCGAAACTACCAGCTGTTCCGCAGGAGAAAGAGGAGGCTTTCTGCTCCCGTAAAGATTTACGGCCTCAGAAACCCTGTACAGGGTCGCTATGAGTTGGAACCGACTCCGCGGTACATGACAACAACAGGTCTCTTGCTCAGAGCCCTTCCATTGCTTTCTTCTGTCCTCTGGATCAAGTCCAAATACCTTGGCCTAGTATTTGAGGCCCAAGTGCTGACTTCAGCAACTAACTTACTTAGATAGTAGTTGTCTGTCTTCATCCCCTTGCCCAGATTGGGAGTGGCTAAAGGGCAGTCCAACGAGTTCTGGTAGCATAGTGGTTATGAATTGGTCTGCAAACCTTAAGGTCAGCAGTTCGAAACTACCAGCTGTTCCACAGGAGAAAGATGAGGCTTTCTGCTCCCGTAAAGATTTACAGCCTTGGAAACTCTGTACAGGGTCGCTATGAGTCGGAACCGACTCCATGGCACATAACCACTACCACCAAAGGGCAGTCCTCATGTCCCCTCTGCCTAGTCTTGGCCAGAGAGTAGGAAGTATGCACAGAAGAGACACAAGAGTTTGTGTATGTGTGTGTGTTGCATGGACAGTTTCCTAAACTCTGACTTTCCTCCAAGGCTCCTGGAACAAGGGGGCTGGGCAGGCCCTAAACCATGCCAATCCCTGACTGTGTCTTGACATAGGAGTATAGGCTTGGGGCCAGGCCTGTGGCAGCTGATGAAAGAAATGGACTTTACCTAAACCTTAGGCCTCACAGCCATTTATTTACACAGGAGGGAGAGGTAGGATACAGGGACCCACAGTCCTTGTCCACCAGCCTGGCCCAGTTGGGGATGTCTGAATACTGTACCAGGCCTCTGGTTTCACAGGGCTCCCAGAGGGCTAGGCTGAGAGTGAGTCAGATGACAGCATACAGGAGCTCTGGAGCAGGCCTGAGAAAGAGATTCTGAGGCAGGTCTTGGCTCTAGCTGAGACTAAAGGGGAGAGAGAATGTTTATATAAATGTTTGTGGGGCGGGGATGGGGCTATTGCCTTTCTTTAAAAGATGGTAATACTCCTGCAGTCAGTGCTGCTGACCCTGTCCTAACCCTCAGCACTGCAGGCTAGGGTTTTTGGATTAGGCTAGACCAGGACCTCCACATCCAAGACATGACTCCTGAGTCTTCACAGATGCATCTAGGTGCTTGATGAAAAGTTCAAGCCATCTTCAACTTCTCTGGTTGCTTCTCAGCAGTGGGGCTAACAGACCCAGGGTCTGTCACCTTGGGCTCCCTATTTCAGATGAAGTCATGTCTGGAAGGAAAGGGGACTGGATAAAGGCCTATTTTCTTAATTCAGATGGCAACCTGGGTTGTGTTAAGTGTGAGGAGGGGTGGTTTACCCTGAAGTTGCATTGAGTTTTATACCAGAGGGGAAGGTAGGCTGGCCAAGCTTGTGGGGCTTTTTATTCCAGGATCATGTTACATGTAGTACAGGCGGGCCAACCAAGCCATCTGTTAGGGGCGCAGAGCTGCAAAGCTGGTGTGCTGAGGCTCCAAGTTCCATTCTCAGGTCCTCAGGGTTGGAGATGCTCTGAAGGCTTTTTGGGAGAATGTTTACCTACCTAATGCCATTCTGCCCCTTTCCCTCAACTGCTATTCTGTGTCTATCCTCACACTTCTCCATCTAGTGACCTAGAATTTGGTCATGTAACTCCCCTATTCTAAACTCTTCCATGGCTCCCTGCTGCCTCAGAATAAAGTCCAGATGCCTTGCAGCACTTCACATTCAGCCAGCCTCACTTTTGGCTGCTGCCCACTGCAAGTACTATCTTGTCTTTAAGGAAAACATTTTTTGTGTCTGGAAAGACCTTCCTCATTCCTTGTCACATCTCTTCAATTCCTACTCAACCTCTAGAGGCCCTGAAGCTGGGGATGTTCTCTGAACTCCTGTCACTGCACTCGTCATCCATATTAATGACAGAGTTGCTGGCCTGAGCTGCTCTACCTCTGAAAGGAGACTGATTTATCTCTGAGTCCCCAGGCCCTGCACAGATCTGGGCACAGAGTTAGGAAAAGTATCCTGACTGAAGAAATAAATGAATGGATGTGCTCTGGCCTTTCCCTGTCCTGACCCTAAGCCTGTAGGATTATCCCTTACTAAGGAGCTCTGGTAGCGGAGTGGTTACGAATTGGGCTGCAAACCTCAAGATCAGCAGTTCGAAACTATCAGCTGTTCCGCAGAAGAAAGATGAGGCTTTCTGCTCCCATAAAGATTTACAGCCTCAGAAATCCTGTACAGAGTCTCTGTGAGTTGGAACCGACTCCACGGCAAATCACCACCACCACCAAGGATGGATTACCCAATAAGCAAGGTAAGCACGGGCTTGTGTTTACTAAGCTGTAATGAGAAGTTTCAATGTTTTCACCACATTAAAGATGTACACCACACATTAATAAGTAAGCCTGTGCTTACCTTGCTTATCA